ATCGAATTTCTTGAAAAATGTATTTAATTTTTCTTAAAAATTTTATGAAAATCCATCGAAAGAATTCAATTTTTTAAAAATGTGTTGATAATATTAATTGAAGAATTTCTAAATAATCGAAATTTCGTAAAATTGAATTGAAAACAAACAGATTTGAAAATTATCAAAGAAATTTTTTAAAAATTATTAAAAATAATTTATTTAAAGAGAATTTTAGTTAAAAATTCTAGAAAAAAATATTTGAATTGAAATAATGAAAACAATTTATTTATTTAAGTAATTGAATTCTCATAGAATTTTCTAATAAAAATTGATTTAAAAATGAATTTTAGTTATAATCTGCAATAAAAATTAAATATTAAAACTAAAAGCATTATTAAATTATAAATTTTTAGAAATAATTGAATTTTAAAAATGTTTTAAATTAAAATCTTTGAAAATTAAATAATATTTCATTTGAAAAATTTCCGATTAATCGAAATTTCGTAAAATTTAATTGTAAACAAATGGATTTGAAAATTCTCGAAGAACTTTTTCAAAAAATATTTAAAATAATGGATTTAAAGAAGAACTTTATAGTTAAAAATTATAAAAAATAATTGAATCATTTTACAATGAAAGAAATTCAGTGAATCAGAATATTCTTTAGGGTCAGGGAAAAAGTGAAAATTTTGTCTGGAAATCAGGGAAAAGTCAGGGAAAAACAAAATTAAATTTTTGTTGCAACCCTAATTATGTTCGTATTTATAACAGACTATAATTATAATTTATTATTTTATTATTTTAATGATAATAATAATTAATAATAGAATAAATATAATTCCAAGATCCCTTGAGGGTGTGTGACATTTATATAGTAGACGTTGTAAAATTGGAAAAGAATGTTTATTGGATAAAAATCAGTCCCTTAGGTGCGCAATCGATTTTCTTGTCTCTGCGGATACAAAAAGACCATTTGATTGGAATACAAGTTTATATCTTGATCTTTTTCCATGTTTCTAGTTTTCTAGAGTTGTCACGATATCGCCAGACTAAACAATGCATGTATATTGGATATGTTGAAGACGTGGAAATCAATTGAGAACTTGCGAAACAGTGAATATCGACTTATTTTCTAAGTCTCGTTATATGTTCGTACAATATACGATTACAAGACCAATGACAGTATTGAAATATCTTTTACAAACACAAGTGTTTTCATACCTGAATTTCAATTAAAGTGTTGCATGTAATTTTCAGTTTTTGATTTACATTTTTTCTGTTATATTTTATTTATTTATTTTTTTTTTGTATTTATATGTTTTGTTATAATGAAACAAGTATGATGAAATAAATATAATTTATAACAAATAAAGCAACTTTTTTTGCGCCTTAAAATTGTCCCGAGGCCTTTATTTTTATTAATTATTATTAATTATTATTATTTATTATTATATTATATTATTATTTATTTTTATTAATTATTTTTTATTCATATTTTTAATTTTCCGATTTGAAATTCTTGCTATGAGGAATAATTTTTTTTTGTTTGAGTAAAAAATATTACAATATTGTTCGGAGGAAACTGTTTAGGAGTTATTACACTAGAATACTATTGTTGGTCATCAGTGAATTTATTTTAACTCTAATTGTTCCAACTTCCGGTTAACGGGGAAGTAAAAGCCATAAACATCACTATAGTTCCGGCAAATATATTCTGTGTCTCTTCAAATGTATCTGCATCCGACTCGATGAAGGGAGACTTTTTTTTCTTCTTTTATAATTTTCTTGGCACTTTGTAATTTCGAGGTAATTTTGCAGAAAAATTAAGTGAGAATGCAAAAATTAATGTTTCAGTATTTTATTAGTAATCAACAATGACGTTGAATAAATTACAGAGTGACTAAATAATTATCGAGTGAATAATACATTGTGTATATTATTATGTCACTTTTTGTCATAATATATGATATTTATTATTAATCAATTTGCATACAATGGGAAATTATTGTTAATTACAAATGAAATTGAAAAGAAAAAAATGAAATATTAATTTTTATCTAAATGAGTTTATTTTTATTGATACTGAAAAATGAGTTATTTATTTTGTAAATAATTTTTTTATTCTGTGTTATATAAATATGATTAATTGTTGTATATTCGGAGAAAAATTCAAAATTGCTTTGTAAATGACAGGCTTGATGTGTGCTGTGCGCAATGTCTTGGAAATTACACTTGCAATCCTAATCTGAGTCTAAATTCTGAAGTACACGTCATGTGAGTCAACATCCGTTTAGCGAGAAACGCCGCGTCGCCTATGCAAGTTGAGATTTGTTGACTGTCTGGGCCAAATACCATGACTTACCCTTGACTTTATAGACTTGCTCTCGTTTCTGTCTTTCTAGATTGTTTCTAATAATGTGTACATTTTAATAATTCAACTCTACCGCTGATTTAGAAAAGTCTTCATTTCTATTTTATAGTTTTTAATACTCTGTTCTATTTAATATTTAACTGGTTTTTTGTTGTTGAAATTATATCAATTTAGAGTTGCCATAAAACCTGAGAAACCTGGAAATGACAGGAAATTTTATAAACCTTGAAAAAACCTGTATTTATTCTTGAAATCTAATTTTACTTAAATATTTCAAAATTAATTCAATTAATTTAATTTTAAAAGAGTTGCGTTTTAATTATTAAAATTTTTTTTAAAACAAGTTTTTAAAATTTTTAATTAAATTCATTTAAATTTGAAATTTTACAAAATTTCAATTTTAAATGAATTTAATTAAAAATTTTAAAAAACCTAGATTTTAAAAAAATTTTAATAATTAAAATTCTTTTGAAATTAGTAAAATTTTTTAACATACCCATATTTAATTAATTATTAAAAAGAATGGATTTATAGAAGAATTTTAGTTAAAAACAGTAAAAAAAAAATTGAATTTTAAAGCAATTACAAATGATTGCAGAAATTCAATTATTTTCAAAAGTAGTCAAATTCTTCTCAAAAATTGAATTATTTTCAAAAATTTTAATAAAATTCTTAGCAAAATTTTCATTATGTTCAAAAACTTTACTCAATTTAATGATTTTTAATTTCTACTACTTTAATAAAATCTTCGAAAAGAATTCAATTAGTTAAAAAAAATTTTAATAAAATTCTACGAAAACATTTCATTATTTTTATAAATAATAATAACATTTTTTACAGGAATTCAATTATTTTCATAAATAATAAAACTCATCGCAGACTTTCAATTATTTTAAATACATACAATTTTAATGGAATTCCTCGAAAAATGTAATTATTCTTAAAAATTTTATTAAAATTTATCAAAGAAATTCAATTATTTTCAATGTCTACTATTTAAATAAAATTGCACAAAAGAATTCAATTATTTAAAAAGAAATTTTAATAAACTTCGTCTCAAGAACGAAACATTTCAAAAGTAATAATTATAATTCTTCTCAGAAATTCAATTATGTTCAAAAAGTTACAAAAATTCCCGAAAATATTAATTATCTTTATAAATAATAAAATTTTTCTCCGAAATTCAATTATTTTCAAAAAATTGAATAAAATTCTTGTCAGAATTTCAATTATTTTTAATACAATTTTCATCAAATTTCTCGAAAAATGAAATTATTTTTAAAAATTTTATTAAAATTTGTCCGGAGAATTTAATTATTTTTTTTTAATTATTGAAGTTTTTCTTTTCTGATACAAATTTAATTTAAAAATTTCCGAATAATCGAAATTTCGTAAAATTGAATTGAAAACAAGCAGATTTGAAAATTATCTAATAAATTTTTCAAAAATTATTAAAAATAATTGATTTAGATAGAATTTTAGTTAAAAATTCTAGAAATAATATTTGAATTGAAATGATGAAAACAATTTAATTTATGTAACAAAAGTTTTGAACGTTTAAATGAACGACGATATTTTTATTACTTCTTTTAATTTGTATTTTATTTACAAAATTTTGTCTTTTATTATTAAAAAATTAATTTTTAACCAAATTAAATGTTCAGTTACAATGTTTTTTATTTGAGTTTAGTAATTTTTAAAAAATATTGTAGCACAAAAAAATATTTCTTTCTCTTGAACGTTCATAACTTTAGGAAAATGAAAATTTGAACTTTTCATACTTTTAATGTTTTAATCAAGAACTTTTTTAAAAATTATTAAAATAAATTGAGTTAATGATTAATTTTAGTTGAAAATTCTAGAAATGAATAATCGAAATGATAAAAATAATTTTTGAAGAAGTTTTTAAATATTTTTAAATTTTATTTTTTAAATATTTTTTCAACTTTTAAATATTTATTTAAAAATGTAGTTATTGATGTTTTCGAATAATTTTCCAATTAAAGAAATTCGTAAATAAATGTAATAGAACATTGCATTTGACATTGTGTTCCTCTATTTTTGTCTTAATATTTCTATTAGAGAAGTAAATTCTCAGATACAACTTTTTGTTCCCGTTTCTGGGGTTTATAGTTGACTGATAATAAGCAGATTGTAATTTAATCGTTCCACTTTTATAAAAGTTGTATAAGCATGTGTGAAGTGTTATGAAGGAAATTCACCAAATTCACCTTACTCGCACGTGCAGGCGTCGATTCTTTCCTTTTTACCCGCACACTAACGTTGAACTGTTAGGAGCGGAAACTGTTAGAAAATACATTGGTTTAACGCAGACAATGCTATAGACATCGCACAATGAATACCGGTGCGGTGGGAGAGTCGCATGCAACAAGCTGTGAAACAATGAATGATCTTCCACGATTGCACTAGATTCTGAACTCGTGGGAGTTTTGTCTCTCTTTCCAAAGTTTCACGTCTGGATGACAGGAAGTGAAATCAACCAAATTTACTTATTTCAACTCAAATAGCGAATTTAGAGAAAATTTATTAATAATTTATTATTCTTCTATTATAATTAAATAAATTGAAAATATTTATAGTTTAAAAATGAATTAATTTTGCTAATAACACTTTTTTTTTATTGCAGATACTCCAATGTCTCCGACTGGTCCAGCGTCACCAAGTCAAGAAGGTCTTTTTACTGACCTTCGACTTCTCTCATTAGAAAAGCAGCTTAATATTGAAACGAAGGTAAAATGACTTAATTGTAATAGAATCCGTCAAGCAGGATCAAGAATATTAATTTTTATCGCGGATAAAAATTGCAGTAGTTAATTATATTTAACTGCGAGATTATTTTTCACTCCTATTGAGATATATTGAAATCTTTTTCATATATTGAAATCTATTTCAATAAATTCAAGTATTCAATAGAAATGAGAAATTGCTACATGATTTTTTTGATGAATAGTTTTTCTTTTAAAAAAGAAATGACATCCATTTTTTGTTGAAGGAAAAAAAATTAAGATTTTTGTTGATAGTTTCGAGTCGTCTTTTTGCGTCTGTACTATATTTAAAGTTAAAATCGCAACCCGACGTCATACGACGACACAAGTTCCAGGTTTTAATCAGTTTAGTTGTTAGTTTGTCGCGAGCTAGTGAATACTTACAATGTTTGGTTAGAAGTGTTTTAAAAAGTGAATTTTATATCGCAAAAAGAGGAGAGAAATCGGCTAAAAATGGCCAAGCTTATTTGGAAAAGAGTTAATAAGTTTAAATTTGTTTTGTTTACCACTACTTGTTTTCTTTAGATTATTATTATCGATTTTGATAAATTTCTCTTTTCATTTTACTATTTAATAGTATTTTAAAAATTGTACTTACTTCTTTTCAATTACATTTAGTTTTATGTTTTTAATTTCTATTATTTGTAATATTACTGAATGTTTAATATTTTTATTACTATTACTATTATTTTCATTGTTATTATTATTTTTAATACTATTTTTATTATTTTTACTACTATTTTTATTATTTTTACTGTTATTTTTATTATTGCTATTATTATTGTTTTTAGTAGTAGTGGTGGTAGTCGTTTTATTATTATTATTTTTTTGTTCATTTTCCTGCTTGAGAAGTTAACTTAAGCAGATTGGGATTAGTCGGTAAATTATAATGACATTAGCTGAAGAGTGCAACACAGTTGCTTTCTTGGTATTACGTAGCGTGTCTGAAATCGAAATAAAAAATTAACAGTGCATGAGAATATGCCTTTTAGAAAATAATTTCTTAAAAGAAGAACACACTTTAAATATCCTGTTAAGAAAAACTTATAAATTTGAATATTCATTATCAATCATTATTGTCTTATATTGACGGGAAATGAAAGAGTTTCCTTGTCAGTCTTTTATCAAACTTTATAATGTAATAATCCATCTGATAATGTTTTACAAGACCGAATGTTTCTTCCCTATTGATTCTTATATTTTTTTTATATTCTTTTTTTTAGTAGATTATTTATTTTCTGGAAAAAGATTATTTATATTTTTCTAAATGAAGTAATTGAATATTGAAGGAGACGTAATTAATTACTATTATTACAATAATTAATATTTAATAATCGATAATAGAATTTATTAAACAGAATAAATAATTAATCAGAATACACAATGACATTTAGAAATAATAAAATTTTGAGAATATTAATTTATAGAGAAAATGTTTAGTTTATTTATTAATATGAAAATAAAATGATTTTTATTTTTTTTAGGTGAAGCAAGGTGCGGAGAATATGATACAAAGCTTGACCAGTGGACATAGAGATAAAAAATTATTACAAGAGGCACAGCAAATGTTGGACGATTCTCGGGCAAAAATTGAATTTTTACGCATGCGAATAATGAAGTTAAATCAAGCGCGAGAACAACAGCATGCCAGAGGTGATGTACCTCCACCAAATGGTGAAACTACGAGCAACAAAGGTACTGATGCGATAAATAATTTTTGGATTCAATGACCTGAAAAATATGAAACTCGAAATATTTGATTCATTTACATATATGATATGAATTGGAAAATTCTAACTGTAAATTTAAAAAATCTTTTAGAATTTTCTTCCATTTTTCTAAAACTAGACAGAAATGAGCTAAAATTTAATTTCAAATTTGCTAAAAATTATAACACTAACAAGATTTGTAAATTTTTATTTAAAAAGAAAAAAAAAATTCTCATGAAACATTTTTTTTTCAATTTAAAATTTATTGCAAAATTTTCACGTTTGGTTCATATGAATTGATAATATATATAAAGTAGAATTATGTTTACGCAATGTCGCAAATGCGCGAGAATATCCCTTTGCCAAATGGCAAATGAGCAAAAAACGTGCGCTCCAAGTGTCAAGCTCGTGTTTCACTCATCAGTATAATCACTATTGACTACAATCAACAGATCTGAATCTATCGCATCTATCATACTTTTTGATACTGATAAATAGAATTCAATTCACGGTCTAATTGTGCTTAGAACAAAGTTTTTTTAATCTATTTACATTTTAATATCATTAAATATACATTTAATTTAAAAAAAATTACATTTATAAAAAATATCTTCCTTAATTTTACATTTATCAATTTTAACGAAATTAACATTTTTCATTTACTAAATAATACGAATTTTGTATAATTAATCATTTTTTAATTCGGACCGTTTCTTAATATTAATAATATAATGTGCTTTCGAGGATTATTTCCTTCAAAATTCGTGAATGATTGTAAGTGTTTTAAAGGTGTTTTTCAATTCCAAAAAGTCATATATTTTATGTATTTTGAAATTTGAACTCTTTCTTGTAAACTAATTATATTTCTTTGTTTTATTTTTTATTATAATAATATTAGTAATAATTATTACTATTGTTTATATAATAATTTTTATAGGCGAGTCATTATTATTTTTTAATATTTTTTTTATAGATTTAATTTCAAGGTTCTGATTAAATTTTTTTTTATAATTTTTTTTATCTTTCATTTATACTTCTTTATTCGAACATGTCTCATTTACTCCAAGACAATATTATATTTGATTGTTTTAAAAAATAAATTTACTTAATTTTACAAGAAATCTTGAAAAATGGACGGTTAGTGGGACATTTACGTTAGTAAATATTTAGTTGAAAATTTTTGATTTATTGCATTAACGATTATAATTTTTATTTTGCAGATAGGTATGAGCCAAGTTTGGAGCTTGCCTTGGAAGAGAGGGTAGAGGAGCTTCGGCATCGATTACGGATTGAGGCTGCCGTTGTAGAGGGAGCAAAGAATGTGATTCGTCTTCTTCAAAGTGCCAAAGTTGCCGATAAGAAGGCCTTGGCCGAGGTGTGTATACTATCGTTAATTCTTTTCTACTGGAAACACGTGCCTTGAAAATCTGTAAAAAGCCGTGTTTTACCTCTTTTTTTAAATTATCACGAAGGTCAGTAAGAATTATTTCACATATCACTGAGAAAGTTTGATTTTCCGTTTTTTAGTGTAGAATTTTTATTTAAAGAAAAAGATAAAGAAATAGTAAAGAAAAGATAGTGAAAAAGATAACAAAAATAAAGAAATAGTAAAGAAAAGATAATGAAAAAGATAATAAAAATAAAGAAATAGTAAAGAAAATATAAAGAAATAGTATAGAAAAGATAAAGAAAAGGAGAAGACAAAGAATTAGTAAAGAAAAAAAGAGATGGTAAAGAAAACTAGAAATAGTAAAGAAAAATTGATAAGGAGTGCAAAAAAAATTTGAGTCAGCGAGTAAAAAATGTTGGTTCTTTTAGCGAATGTGAAGGAAACAAATTCAGGGGCGACAGTGGGAACGTCTCTTAAAATAGCAACGTACGTTCCCCACCACCCTTTGAGGATGCCTTTTCAGGCCGCGTTAATTTCTTCTCAGAATATGAGAGAAGTGACCATAAAAAATTTTTTTTTCACTTTTTTTTAATAATTCAAAAAGAAACAAATAGAATTAATTTTTAAAACAAAAATTCAAAATTATGAAAGATTTTTTCTTCGAGAATGAAAAAGTTTAATCGTTGAGTTATTATATCTTGATTAAATTATGTGGAGAAGGGAGGATTTTCCTAAAGATGTAGTGAGATGCTCGCCAACAGAATTTGAAAATAGACACGTAACGGACTGTGGGTGGCACTCGTTGAATCACATAGAGTTTCAATAAACCGACAGAGCAACTTGGTTCGTGAATTTGTGTGCGGCCACTTTGAAAATTAAATTTTCGGAACTCAACTTAGTTGCAATAGTTACTTGCGCAAGTCATATGTATACCTGATTCGTGAAAGTAGGCAATTGTGACAACACACATTGGTTGATATCAAAAGTGTCATGAGTTCCAGGTATTCCTAGGCAGGCTGTGAGTTGCTCCAAATTTACATTGTGCTAATTATACACTGCGTCGTCGCACTTGTCGTTAGTTTGTTGCCCCATGAAAAGCTGAGCGGTGTGGTACCTGTTACGAATCGAAATTCAAGAATACGAGAGCACATCATTTTCATTTTTAGGAGTAAAATTAAAATTGAATTGTGCTTTGTTTTGGGAGTGAAACATTTTTTTAAAATACGAAGAAAGAAGAGAAGGGAAAAAAAGTTTTAAAATGTATAAACGAACTGGTGATTCTGGTGGATCGTCGAACGATCCGCCGTGGTTGGTGAGAGCGGAAGTCACCATCCGGCACAAGACTCCAGAAAGTGCAGGAAACCCAGGAACTCCGGAATCGAGTCCTAGATCGGTCGGTCCGAACGTGAATGAACTAAGTGGTCTCCGGATGGTCTATCGATGGAACGCAAATCAATCGGCAGTGACACCTTCCCCAAGTTATGGATTTCAAAGAGGAAATATACTATTTACCTCAACGCCACCTGCAAGGTCCATTCAAAGTTCAAACTCCAGGAGTTCAGTTTCCCCCACGGGACAAGGAGCCAGCATTTCGGATTCGGGATACACGAGCGAATATCTCTCACACTCGAGGTTTCCTTCTTCTAGATATTTGTCACAAATGCACAATCGCAGATGTCAGAGCACTTGCAGTATTACACTTTCGTCTGGAGGGGAAAATAGTGAAAAAAGTGTTAATAGCAGTCCCATTCCACAAAGTAAAGAGCCTTGGAGTTCACATCAACATCTTTCAGCAAGATATAGATTTAGTACTCTTCCCGAGGTCTGCGAAGATTGTGCCGAAGGATCCTCGACTACTTCCAGTGCTTTTACGACTCATTTTTGTACCAGAGTTCCTAATAAGCACGCTGACAAAATTAACAAGACTGCCATTAGCAGAGATGCTGCCTCACAAACTACGGACATTGAAACTTCTCCTATTCTAGCTGTCAAAAATAGTAAAACACGAAGAAAAATTCTTGCTACACGCGGAATAGACGAGCAGAGAAAACGAATGGTAATAATGCGTGATTCCTAGCGAGAAAAATCGCTCTGACGAGAGAAAGAAGCAGAAAATTTAAGTTTATGTTCCATATCGTAAAACTTACAGTAATCGTAAAAAAAAATGTTTACCGTAAGTTTTGAAAGATAGAAAGAATATAATCTTAAAATGATTTGTTTCATAAATAACTTTTTTCGGAGCGTCTAACTTTATTTCGTAAATTTAATCAAATTTCTTTTTCTTCAGCAGAATGTAAATTCACCGCCTTCACCGAGTAGTATCAAGAGTTCTTCATACACTGCAGATCTGGAGAAATCCGACACATCTTCGAAGGAAGACAGTGAAAAACGAAAATCACGAACAGTTCACATTGATGTTTATTGTACAGGAACTGACGATGATCTCAATGAAAGTAACACCGATTCATCGAGTAAGGAGGAAGAATTTGAAAAACCGTCATTAATTTGCCTCGCTGGAAAAGATGTGAGAATAACTCACAAGGAAATCACTGGTACTTCGATTCTTCCAAGAGGATTTCAGGATGATAAAGCTTTTCTGAAACGGGCCGCCGAAAGACGTTGTGAAAGTTTTCGACACGCTCCAATGCGAATGCCATCGCTGGCAAGTTCAAAGGGTTATGAGAGCGATGACGTTTTAAGTTCCCTCTATCCTTCACAATTTAGTTCTTATAGTGCACTCAGGGATTTAGATTCTGTTCCATGGTCAGCAGCGTCTTCGATTAGTGCCATGACACTTGACACTTGTGATTCCTCTTCTGCCACATCGTGGAAGGATACAATTTCCGATATTGAATCTCATAGAACTAGTATTACGCCGTGTGATAGTTTTGAGCATAATGTCAGTTCGAAGAGTGCAATTTTTGATAAAAGTAAAACTTGGAAATCACCACAGACTGAACGAAGGCATTTACTACAGAGTAGGAAAATTAAAAAATACATGGAGAGTCACCGTGTTGATTGGACGTCGGAAGAGAGTAATGGAGAATCTGACGAGAGTGATGCAATTGCTTGGAGTTTTCTTTCTAGTGAGGATTATAATAGATCGGTCAAGGAGAGAAAAAAATCGCCTGAAATTGCTAATGTTGTTCTACAGGCGAAATCGGATTTTAGAAAAATAGCACCACCCCTGGCGAAGGTGGAATCATTTGTTTCTTCTCCTGTCGCGACTAGAGTTACTTCTCCCACTAGTTTCGGAGTCACTTCGTCTGCGACTTCGAGAAAATCTCCTTCAAGTGCTAAAGATACTTCCCCTGCTGCTAAAGACACTTCACCTATTTCTAGAGTTACTTCTCCAACTTCTAGAGTCACTTCTCCAATTTCTAGAGTCACTTCGCCAATTTCTAGAGTTACTTCGCCAACTTCTAGAGTTACTTCACCAACTTCGAGAGTCACGTCTCCATTCACTTCTAGAGTTACTTCTCCATTTACTACAAGCTACGGTGAAAAGACTGATCATATTATTAAGGCTTCGGTTTTCGGACGAGTTGTCGCAGCTTTTAAAAAACCAGGTCACCACATTGGACCTGCGAAAAATCCATCCTGCTCTTGTGATCACTGTAGAAGATATTTTGACGAAAGATCCAGAGATCGCTTTCGATCCTTTTTCGACTTTGAGAGAAGGTCCAGTTCTCAATTATCGAGATTGGACAGAGATAATCATTCAACACGCGCCAGCTCCAGGAATTAATTTATTCAAATAACATATATTTATACATACTTTTTTGAAAGTTCATTCCGATATTTTGAATCGAATTTTACGTAGTTCATTAATTGTAAGTTTGTTTTTTTGTTGCCGCGTAAAATATTTTTACCGTAAAGTTTCACATATATTTTATTAATTCGGTGATAAATAAATCTCTCTTTAATTAATTAATTTTTATTCCAGGCTCAAGCAAGTTTGTCAGAGTCGAGTCGAAAATTGGACCTACTGAGACTTTCGTTGGAACTCAGAAGGCAGGAGTTGCCAACCGACAGTGCCACGGCGGTGCAGCTTAAACGTGAATTAGCTAGTGTGCAGTCAGCGAGTCCAATTCCAGTTACTTATACATCGTTACAACCTTTCCGTGGACCACTAGAAGGAAGAGCGACAGTACCAGCATCTGTCTCAAGATGTGCCGCTGTCACTGGGCAGCTAGAGGTATATACAGTCGTGTTTATAATTTATAAATAACGCTAAACGATTTCGTAAAACTTGACATTTGTATCAAGTTTCAAATTTGTTGTATAAACAAATCAACTTTATTTCATCTCGGAAATATTTGCAAACATTTGCAAATATTTAAAGACATTTTTAACAATTTCAACAGTGTTGTTGAAATATGTTATAAATCTTATATTAATAATTGTTGTATTCCGGTAATCTGTTCGCAGTTTGAAGTTAGTTGCTGTTTGCTTTTTTGTTTCTTAACTTTTTAAATAATTTTTCTTTTTAAATGTTTTAAATTTTAAAATTGATGTACTAGAAATCATTGAATTCTTGCAAAGTATTTATAAAAAAATTGAAAATAATTGAATTCACTTCGAGAATTTTATCAACATTTTTTTTCAATAATTGAATTGTTTCGAGAAAATGTAATTAGAATTATATTGAAAATAATTTAATTCTTGGCAAGATTTTTCTTAAAATTCTTTGAAATAATTGAATTGTTTTCTTCAAATAATTTAATTCTTTTAAACAACTTTATGAGAGTTTTTGTAAATAATTACATTTTTTTTTTTGACTAATTTCATTAAATTTCGTAAAAATAATGTAATTTTTGAAAATAATTTTAATTGAAAATTTTGAAAATAATTGAAATCTACAAAGAAGTTTATTAAAAACTTTTGAGAGCAATTTAATGGTTTAGAGAAATTTTATTGCAATTTTTAAAAATAATTAAACCTGTTAGAGAAATTTTATTAAAAGTTTTGAAAACAATGATTTTTTAAAAAGAATTTCATCAAAATTGTTGAAAATAATTGAATTTATATTAAAATTCTTTAAAATAATTTTCAAAGAGTGTCACTCTTATATTACTTAAATTAAATTGTTATTTTCTTTTAGGTAAGACTAATGGGATGTCAGGATTTAGCAGAGGAAGTTCCTGGACGAACAAGAAGAGAACATCCGGCCAGTCCTGATTTACGCAGCTTTGTTAAAGGTGTTACTGGTCGAAGTTCGAGCAAATCTTACAGCGTTAAAGACGAGACAAGTAGTGAGTATCTTCCTCTGTTTTTTTAATTTAAATTAGAAACAGTTGCAAAATAAAGAGTTAGTAATTACTTTTTTTAATTTAATTTTTATTTTCTTTTTATAGACGATATTATGGCAGTTATTAAATTAGATAATCAAACGGTAGCACAAACTAGTTGGCGGCCTTGTTCTCAGCAGGCATGGGACCAAAGGTAATTAAACATTTTCTATATTTTTATCTATTCAATTTATTGAATTAATTTTTATTCATTTTTGTCCACTTTTATTTATTTCAATCCAATTCATTTGAATGAAATAGAGTTGAATCAATTGAATGAATTAGAATTAAATCAAATGATTGAAATTGAATTGAACTAATTGAATAAAATTAAATTGAATCGATTAAATTAAACTATTCAATTAAATAGCAAAAAAACTAACAAATTTTTAAATTTTGTTTAGGTTTTCCATCGAACTAGACAAATCTAGAGAATTGGAAATCGGTATTTATTGGAAAGATTGGAGATCTCTTTGTGCAGTGAAATTCTTGCGTTTAGAAGAATTTATCGACGACGTTCGACATGGAATGGCGTTACAATTAGAACCCCAAGGTTTACTCTTTGCTGAGATTAAATTTTTAAATCCCATGATATCGAGGAAGCCAAAATTACAGCGTCAGAGAAAGATTTTCAAGCAGCAAGTGAAAAATTTCCCACGAGCGAATCAAATGAATATCAATGTTGCCACTTGGGGAAGACTTTTAAAACGTTCTGCTCCTTCACTTCACAGTACAAGGAGTTCTGAAAGTCCGCCTTCAAGTGTACAATGTAAGTTTCATTTATTCTTTTGTTAAAATGTTTCATTTCTTATTTTATTTTTATTCTATTTTTGTTTTATTTTTTATTTAATTTATTATTTAATTTTTTACTTTATTTTTTATTTCATTTTTTATTCTATTTTCTATTCTTTTTTATTTTTGATTTTAGTTTATTATAATTTTCCAATAACTTTTTCGTTATTATAGGTTCGCAACCGACACAAATTGCCTTTGACTCTTCTGTGGAGGACAAATCTGAAACTCCAGGAGAATTGCCAGATCCTGAGAAGGGAGGATTAGGTGGTGCACGACCCTTGGGAATGAATATAGCAAACGAAATTCCTGTGCTGCCAAGTCCTCCTGAACATCCACCTCCTCCTCCCCCACCATCTTTGATAAAGAAACCTTCGATGCCAGCACCTCCTCCACCTCCAAAACTAGATCAAGAGGTAAGCATAAAATTTCTCTTCTCTATTAATTACTATTATTTTACCAAAGAATATTTAATGATACCAATTTCATAGTAATGTCAAATTTTAAACTCAAATTTTACCAGATAATCTTTCCATAAAAAATCCTTAAAACGTTTTAAATTAATGATGGTTGAGGTTTTTACTTCATTTTAATAAAATAATAATTTGTGACGTTTCACGGTGATAGGAAAAATTTCTAAAAAAAATTTCTAAAAATTTAGTTTTCTAAAATTTTAGGTTCATTTTATGGGAGAATTATTAGAGAATAAAAAAGAATAAAAAAATTTAAGAATTATTTTTTATTTATATACTAAAAAAAAACACTTTTTACTGAATATATGTGACGCTCCACGAGAAAAGGGACCTTATGACAAGAGTAAATAAGGTCCCTTTTCTCGTGGAGCGTCACATATATATTGCATATAGTGATTCAAATTTAATAGTTTGTATCGACAGTTAATAACTTTTAGCTATTATCACTCCGAACTTTAATTCTTTAAAAAAAGCTAAGATTTCTTTCACCGTGAAACGCCACATATTAATTTACAGAAAAAGTAATAAAGCGCTAAAAAACTAAAAAAAAAGTAATAAAATTGATTTAACACTGTAAATACACTGACTATTCTAATCACATTAATAAAGTAAAGCTGTTTTCTAATAAAAAAAAATGTGTCACAAGTTTTCAGTATTTCAATGAAGCACTTGATTTTTAATTCTTTTGGATTTTATTGATATTTTATTATTATTTTATTACTATTTTATGACCATTTTATTACTATATTATTTTATACATATTTTTCATATAATGTTATTCCTTTCATTATGATGGAATGATTAGTATATTGTAAAAGCACAATTTTAAATCAAATCACATGTGTAAAGTTTTGCATAAAAAGTAAACAAAAAAAAAAAGAAAAATTGTTTTTGACACTCTTGTAAAGTATGAGCAAGATACAAATGAAAATGGCTTGCCTGCTTGCAAGAAAAAATCCTGCTCAGTCCTATCCAAGTGCTAAGCAGGTAGTATAATGTAGTTGCAGAGTGCGTTAAGGGAGTTTGATTTCCTGCACATCGAAGAGAAGGGCGGGCATCAGGGGGCAAGCTTGAGGCCCCTTGTGACCGAGCCCCGACCTGTGCTGATTGCACCACCCTCTCCACGCACCCCCTCGCCCCAACCTGTCGTCGAGTTTCCCGAAGACGAGGTACATACCTCCTGTAAACCGCATGGCTTTGTCTGTCCATCTTCTGATTTCGAATTTTCGAATCTTGAAGATGCTATAGTTTAATAATCCAAATTTGGGTACCAAAGGGATTTTTTCTTGTTCAGGACTTGTGGAATTGAAGATTCTTTTTTTGGAAAAGTAAATATTGTGACGCTCTCTGGTGAAAGGGAAGAAACATAAATGGAAGAAAAATATGGGTTATGGTTAGAAAAGTTTTTGCTTGATTCAAAGTAAATCTTTAATCAAGCGAAAATTTTTCTAAACATAACTTTGAATTATAAATTTTACATTATCCACAATTCCTGAAAATTGTATGAATTTAATTATCATTATTCACAAATAAATCACATTCATTATAACATAGCTTAATTATAAATTTAACAAAAATGCTTTTTACGTTCCATATTGGCAGACGTATTATTATTTAATAAGTAAATGACTTTATGAATAAGATTATATTGCTTATGTTTATATAAGACTAAAAACAAAGTCAATATGCCTCTTCTTCTGTTCCTCGAAAATTTCATTCCCAGCATGAATTTTCAATTTGCTTTCTATCCAAGCTTTTCACTGCACAATGCATTTTTTTGTCTTTACTCTTGTGAATTTTATTTTTTAGGAAATTGTATAAATATCCCTTATAAATTAAAATGATAAATAAACATAGGGAGAATTCATCAGAATATTTGAAAATTATTCAGTAATTTATCAAAGTTTTCATTCATTCTTTTTTTTTGCATGGACGTTTTTCTATGTTCAATTTTTGAAATATAATAATCATTAAATGAGTAATGTGATTAAATTCAATATTTTAATTATTTTGTGTACTAACTGTGATTGTCAACATTATTTGTGTGGTTTTTTATTTATGATTTAGGTTAGATTCAATAATTCAGTAAAGAATATTTTTTCAATTTACAGGTCATTTATGAGATGCCAGTTAGAACTTTGCAATCACGAAGACAATCGCAACTTACTGGTATGACATTGGATAACTTTAGATTACTTTCCGTTCTTGGACGTGGACATTTTGGCAAAGTAATTCTCTCGCAATATAAAAATACTGGAGAGTATTTTGCAATTAAAGCTTTAAAAAAAGGAGACATCATTGTAAGAGATGAAGTTGAGTCTCTTCTTTCGGAAAAGAGAATATTTGAAGTGGCCAATACCACACGACATCCGTTCCTAGTGAACTTATTTGCGTGTTTCCAAACTGAAGTAAGTTGTAAATTTAGACAAATACTTTATTTAATTAGCCCTAATTGATTGAACTATCAGTTTTCAACTTTAACTGTCAGATAGTCATAAGAAATAAAAAATAAATGCGGCGCACTTCGAAGAAAATTTAAGATTAATTATTTACGAATCAAATCATTTTAAAGTTATATTTGTACTTTATGTCGTACCGTTTGTATCTTTTTTCGGAGTGCGTTATAAATATGAAATAAATAATTGTATTTTCTGAAATTATATTCGATTTACTTTTTTTTACAGGCACACGTTTGTTTTGTGATGGAATACGCAGCTGGTGGAGATCTTATGATGCACATTCATGCGGATGTTTTTGGAGAGCCACGCGCAGTCTTTTATTCTGCGTGTGTTGTATTAGGCTTGCAATATTTACACGAAAGTCGAATCATTTATAGGTAAGACATCACTTTTTGAAAAGTTTGATGTAAAATTAATTTTATTAATTAAACAGTTTATCATAGAAGCTGTTTATACCGCACGCCTTCAAGTAAGAAAGGCATATAACTAAAATTCGCGTTGTAAAACTAAACAAAAAAATCCAAACAAAATATGCAAAATATTTGTAAACAGTTTCCGGTTGAGTCCATAATGTAGACTTTTATGTTTAGTTGGCGCTTTATATAAACAATACATTGAGAAAAAATTTCCTGTAAATCCTTGTTTAGTTTAAGGCGTGCGGTGTAAAAACAGCATCATAAAAATTCCTAACGAGCAACTAATATTCGTATTTCCTATTTTAGAGACTTAAAATTGGATAATTTACTCTTGGACACGGAGGGTTATGTGAAAATCGCGGACTTTGGATTATGTAAAGAGGGAATGGGCTTTGGAGATCGAACAGGAACTTTTTGCGGTACTCCCGAGTTCTTGGCACCTGAAGTTCTGACCGAAACTTCATACACACGCGCTGTAGATTGGTGGGGTCTTGGAGTTTTAATATTTGAGATGCTTGCCGGAGAGGTAATTATTTTTTTCTATTTACAGCCCTCGGACATTATGACTATTTCGACTTTTTTTTTACTATTTTCAAAAAACGCAGCTTTTTTCGACTTATTTTTAAAAATTAGGACTTTTTCGATTTTTCTTCCAAATGTTGCAACAAAATTTTTTTTGAATAATTGAAATTTTGTGAAATTCAGTAGATAATAATTGATGTTTTCAAGTATTTTATAACAATTTTTGAAAATCAACTTTTCAAGAATTTTAATTGTAAATTTTGAATATAATTGAATTTTCAAAAAATTTTAATGTGAAATCTTTAAATGTAAATTTAAAAATGAAAATTAATTAAATTTAGCTTCTAAAAATAACATTAAAATATTTTGTAAAAAGTAGTTCTTCAAATTTTTTAAAATTCAATTTAGATTTAGAAATCAGTGTTAAAGGGAAAATCAGGGAAATACGAAATCAATTTTTTGTGACAACACTGAATTAAATAAACGACATTTACAACTTTTTTTGTATTTTCAATCGATTAATGCGACATTTTTTGTGCTTTAAAGTCGATCCAAGGCCTGTATTTACCCTTCAAATATCAAATTATTTGAATTTTTGTTCAATAAATTTTAATCATTTGTTTCATTTTTCAGTCTCCTTTCCCTGGTGATGATGAGGAGGAAGTTTTTGATTCCATTGTAAATGATGAAGTTCGTTATCCTCGATTCCTATCACTTGAAGCAATTGCCATAATGAGAAGAGTAAGTCTTGATTTATTATTTTACTTGTTACTGTCATTTTTTACATTGCTTTTAAACTTGTCTTTTCTATTTCATTATCATAATTAAAAGTAAATATTTTAAATGGATTCAAACTTTAAATTACAGCTACTTAGAAAAAATCCTGATCGAAGATTAGGAAGTAGTGAAAGAGATGCAGAAGATGTCAAAAAACAAGCGTTCTTCAGACACATAGCTTGGGATGATTTGCTTTTAAGACGTGTTAAACCTCCATTCGTTCCTGTTATTGTAAGTAAAAGAAAATTATTTTAATTTTTGTAATATAATAACTGTAATTAAGAAAAGAGTGGAGTATAAGAGTATTTTTCCTAAAATTAAATATTTTTAGCATTCTGTTGAGGATGTAAGCAATTTCGATGAAGAATTCACATCTGAAAAGCCTCATCTAACGCCACCGAAGGATCCAAGACCGCTCAGTGATATGGAGCAAGGATTATTTAGAGACTTCACGTACATGGCTGACTGGTGCTAACAAATTAGATAACAAATTAACAACAAACTTTGCGAAAATTGAAGGTATTGAACAGTTTCTATAAAAAAAAAAAATCTCACGCCGATAACAATAATCAATAAGATATACAAAATTTTACCAGTCCTTTCGACATTGAAACGCACCGCCACCAGAGTTGGTCCAATTAAGTTACACGCATAAAGTAATTATTGTTTTCATCACTGGTGATATCAGTTTGCAGCTTTTCTTTAACGAATTTAAAAAAAAAATTTTAATATAGATATCTTAATATTAAGAAAGATTCGAAAATTCTAAAACGAAAACAAAAATTGTGCATCATTACGAAGCATATCGTAAATTTTATTAGCTATTTTTATCTACGTGAAAAATTGTTTATCTTTAAAAAATACTTCTGCACATGCAGCTACATAATAACGCATAATATGAGAGCTGTTTTAAGCTCTTTAATAAGCGTTCATGATATTATTTCAGCAGAAAGTACTCGCGCCCTTTTGCTGCACATCAAAAGCTATATTTTACAAAATCAGATATTTGCTCATAATCATGTGATAATTATCAGAAATTGAGCTTACACGTAAACGAAGAGAGAAACATTTTTATTACATTTCGTTTCGTTCTGATTACTCAATTTTTAAATTCATGAAATTTTGTAATTTGTTAGATTCATTGCTCTTTTTTTAGATTCATTGCCAAATTTGGCTTTATTTTGCATTTTAATGATACTCAAAACTTTATTGGATAAAGTAATAGAAGCGGAGACAATCGTGCCGTACTTAAAACTATGAAAGGGAACAAATATTTCCTTCCAATTCATAAAAAAAGTACTTTTATATAAAAAAAAGAAAGAAAAAAATGGTTTCTAAAATTCGAATAACTCCATTCCATAATATTCCGAAATTTAATTCGGAGAAGGATTCCTGTTCTAAGCATTGGAATTTTTCAAATTATTGTAAATAATTCTCTCGCTTTTCAAAAGCCTTACTTTTTTAATACTCTAATACTCTTTTGGTACTCGGTTTACATTAAAAAGAAAATAATTTCCTTTACAGATTTTAATGTTTGTAGGAAAGAAAAAAACGTGCCTGATTTTTTATAAATGGTTGTTTTTTTTACCGAACAAGCATAGATTTTTAATATCATGAGATAGACAAAATATGTATTTTATTTAAAGAAAAAAAAAACGACCATTAAAAAAAGATTCATATCTAAAAATTTGTAAGATTTTCAGAAATTGAATACAATTTCTTAAAAATGAAGAAAAAAAAAGATACTATACCACCCTGTTGACTGATTTAAGCCGTACGAATGGAGATTAACTGTATAAAAATAATTAATTTTAAATCCGTCTTATATAGTATTTTTTATCAATATAAATCAATTTCAATAATAATGTATGCTTTAATTCACATCTCATTGAAGGTACGGTTGAAGCAGCAATAAAATTTTGTAAGTTGTATATAAACATAATACTGATATTGAAACATTATTCTAATTAAGTAATAATCTGCTGAAATCATTTCAACTTATATACTCAAGATTATTTCAGATAATAAATAGAAAAAAATTAGTTAGTGAGTTTTAGTAAAAATCCTGTATTTAAAATATTTCATATATTCTGTACAAAATATTAAAATTAGATTCTATGTAATTTTTTTTTTATTTGGAGATATAATTTCAACACTTTTGATAGTAGGTTGTGAACTTTTGGAATTCTTTGTGTCTTGACTTTTTTTATCGGTTGTTATTTCTTTTTTTTCCGGTTGAATTTCTTCTGTTTTTTCACTAAGTACAGGAACTAATTTTTCATTATTAATAGTAGTGTTTGAATTTGTAGTTTCAATGTTAATAATTTTTTCCTCAGAATCAAGAGATTTTGCTATTTCATAGAAAATTGTGGTATTTTTTCTAATTTCTTGGTCCAATTTGTATTTATTTTCCTCCTTTTGTTTTATAAGTTTGGTTTCTTCAGGTGATATCGGTTTTATGAGTCCTGAAGTTACTTTGTAGTAAACAGTAGTGCTGTCACCTCCTCTAAATGCAAAGGTAAAGCTAAAATTCATAAAATTTTTGTTGTAATTTAAATTCACTTTTTTATAATTTGGTAGGTCTTAATAATAGAAAAATATATAATTAAAAATTTACAGGTAAATTTACCTCTTTAGGTTTAAATGTTCTTGTATACTTTCAATTTGTACAAGAGAAATTTTGTAAATTGAAGGCCAAGGAACATATGTCTCGGGCTCCGAATTTTTACTTTTTTTGCCTTCAAGATATATAATATCAGTTTCTTTATTGTATTTATAAACTACATCCCTCAAACATTTTACTTCACAAAGTTCCATGTAGACGTAAAATGCAACAGAAATTCTAATTCCATCGGTGCAACCCAACTGACTAATTTTATAGTACTGAAAAATAGTTGCAAATAAAATGTTAAATACTTATTTTGTGCTAAAATGTACAAATATTAATGGTATAATATAAATATATTTAATTACACTTGGATGACATAAATCGTACAAGGCAAACATCTTATTTTAATTTCCTCGCTGTTTCTTCACAATTTAGAAATGTTCATAAACATTGAACTTTACTAATTAATCCTAATATTCAATTTTAAAACATTTCAAACCGGTTAAAAGTTTCATAAACATTCATGTTCTCTTCTAAACCTGTCAAAAATTTTTAGGTTATATTAATGTTTGTTTGTATGCCGACTAAAATCCAACTTGTCCAACTAATATATTTACAGTTGGCTAAACTATATAAACGGCGCGAATATAAGGAATAAATATTTTCGGAAACAAAAGTAAAAACCGAGTTAGTAAATTGAAAATAGATATATGATTAGAAAAATTTTAAAAGTGATATTACTATTTATTAGTATTATATTTATAAGTAATATTTATAGTATTATAACAATAAAGTAAAGTTTTATTAAGAATCTTCCATTTGAATTTGGAAACTTGTCCAACAGTGTCCAATTAGCGTAACTTAATGATACGTGTGTATAGTGCTTAAGGTTAAAAACGGTAGTACCAACGGCAATTGACAAATAGTACATATGAATAGACCTTTAGACGCCGTGAGCGCCATTCGTTTTTAACCTCTCCGCCTATTGTTCATATTGTTATTGTCTAACCTTGCGACACCTCGTAAACTTGTAAATTACAAATTCTGTTCTTTAAAATTATTATTTTATTCAGTAGTTTACATGTGATTGATCCAAGAAAAGTTTATTGTTAAAAACACTTATGAACATGTTAATGCCATATTGTGCTATTAACATGTAAGTGTCTGTGATTCCCTTTAATGTTTACTTTTGCGTTGTATTTAATTTCTCGTATCCGTTACATCATCCCACATCATTATTTGCTTGTGCGTTTTGCAAATCTAACATTTTTGTAATATTTACAATACAAAAACAGTTTTTCAAACAATCGAAAATAATGGTTTTTGGAAGGGAGAAAGAAAAGAAAGAGCCGGAGATAGTAAAGGAGGATATAGAAGTAATATCTCAATTGCTATATATATATATGTATATGTTTTACAAATTGATTTTATTTTTTTATTTTTCTACTTTATTAATGAATTTATTTCTTATTTTTCAGCAATTATTAATATTCTCAGCGACCAGATTTCAACAAGACTTTTATGAACTTCTAAGTGATTGGAATGTATATGACTCTGAGACACCACATGTCCTTAAAAATTGCATTGGAACAGTTTTATTTGGTCCTCCAAAGGTTGAGGAAAATGAAGAATTAACGACCAACGAAAATACTCTTTTTAAATATAAACCAGCGCAAATGAAAAAAATTGATAGTCTGTACGATAAAATAGCTGAGCATGGAATACAGAAAAATAAGAAGATTCTTTGTGGTTTAATATACAATGTGCTATTTGATGATAAAGGAATTAAAGCTGTGATTAAAATTATTAAGAAGGAAGAGAATTTTAATGGAGATTGCTTAATGAATTTCGTGAGTCCCGTTCCAGTATTTAGAGTTTTAAAAACTACAGTTATCGAGAAAAATGAAAAAAAGGAAGAAAATGAAGGAAAAGAAGAAGGTGAAAAAAAGGAAAAAAGTGAAATAAAGGAAGAAGGTGGAAAAAAGGAAGAGAGTGAAATAAAGGAAGAAGAGGAAGAAATTGAAAGAAGCGAGAATGATAACGAAGAGATAAAAAACGAAATCTATTATATTGACGACAATGTAAGGGTTTATAAAAGTTGGGAGGGTTATCTGGAAAATAATATTCTACCACCATGTAAAATGGTCGTGCCATTCAATGGAGAATATCAAGGAGACAAATGTGAACAATGGTCAGAGGAAATGTCCTATGTTAAGGTGGAAATTCACAGATCTCCGGCCTATCGAAATAAAGTTCTTCCAATTTTGGACACATCAAGTACCTTGCTTAGTGTAGCAGGTATGACTGTTTGTGCTGCATCTCTCTTTACACCTATTGGAGTTGTGGCTGCTGCAGCAGGTAAGCAAATGATTTTTAAAAAACATTTCTAATTAGGACAATATTTTTCAGGAAATTTGCACAGGCTTGACACCAGTTTAGGCAAAGCAGGGAATTTTATATCAACAGTACGGAAATAATATCAAAATCGAAAAATTTCAGTTGATTATTTAATTAAATCAATTTGAAAATTTCAATTCTATTTTCTTAAGATTATTACATTTTTAAAATTAATTGATGGTCCGAAATGGAGAAATCGGTTACAATTGTAACCGATTACAAAAAAAAAAAATTATAAAAAATTAATTAATTAAAATAATAAATAATTAATAATAATAATTATATTTATATTAATTATATTATATTTTATAGATCTTAACTGGATTAATTAATAATTTTAACTAATTAATGATTCTGAAAATTATTTAATTTCTTTGTAATTGAGCACTCTTTCGAGTTTTTTTATCGAGATCAGAGAAACAGTTAAAATTCTGTCTGAAAATCAGGGAAAACGAAAATTAAATTTTTGTTGGCAATTCATTTGCACTGTAATTTTGTACAAAATTCCTAAAAAATAATGTGCTATATGAGTAATTCAGTTTTATTTCAAACTGATATATTTATAAGTAAAGTAATTTTTATTAATAGAATAACAACTAAGTTTATAAAATATTTTTAAAATTATTAATAATTCTAGGTGGTATAGGACTAGGTGTGAGTTCTCTTTGGTCAATAGGTAGGAGTTCGCATACATTAATAGATCGTTCGAAACATGAGCAATCGATCAATATAACGAATAGAGAAGGATTCACTTGTTGGTTTACTATTGCTTCAAGTACATTAGCATTTGCATCAGCTGGAGGGTCAATTTTGTTGACGAGGGCAATTTCAAATGGTGCAACCGTCGGTAAAATGTTTCAAGTTTTGCACGATGGCGTTCAATTCGGTACTTTACTTGCAACTGGAATGACTGCTGGCATATCTATCTACAATATATATGATACATATCAAGAAACTCAAACTGTTTCTAAACAAGAAGTCTTTAATTTGATAGCAAGTTTACTTGTTTTAGGAAATTCTGTTGTTAACTTCCAAATGACTAAAACACTTATAGAAAATCATCAAAAGTCTATTATTGACAATTTTGAATCGAGCTTAAGAAGTAATCGACATAGAAAGGAGTTTAAGAAAATGGTGAACAATACCAAATCAATTGTTGAAGATTCAACAAAAGTAAAAGAGCAAATTATCCGAGGAATCAATAAAATAGAAAATAAAGATGACTTTTTTGCATCAATACTCAGAAACAAAAAGAGTTTTGCTTCTGAAGGAATTAGACCAGCGTTTGTCGACGGTAAAATTATAATTAATGGAAAAACTTTGATGAATCCAGCCGAGTTTATAAAGAGTTTAACGAATACTTCATCTAAAGCACCGATTATAAGTCCTGCTATTCCTTCAACCAGTATTACTATTCCTAACAAAAGTAGTTTTGAAAATGCTTTCACTGACTTTATCGCGCGACATGCAAAAGAATTTGCTGCTCTTGTAATACCGAAAATAACAGACTTTTTTTATGTTTTGACTGATATAAGTAAATATGATAATGCCGATGTAATATTTGGAAAACTTCTCATTCTTGCATTGAAAATAGCAAAATCAATAATTACTGAAGAATATCCCGCATCAAATATTTTCGTAAAAGCAGTAGATTTTCTGTGGGATTTCATTAAAGCAAGCATTAGGGAAGAATTAAGGGGATTAGTTGGTGAGCCAGGTCGAGAAATATTAATGAAAGTGCTTATCAGTTTATATTCTTCAGTTGAACAAAAATTAGACGAATGGGTAGCTTCTTTTAGAGAGTATCTTAGAATAAAAATTCGACAATTGGAGGATGGACTTCGAGAGTTAAGCAGCAGTGGGTTTGAAAGAATGAATATTGCCTCACGTTCACTTCTGTCAAATGGCACAATTTCTTAGACTTTATAAAAAGACAACAAAGAAATTAGATCTATTATTTATTAGTGAGATAGTGAAGACAACTTGTTGACAATTTGTTAGTTCTTTTTTATGCAAAGAAATAAAAAAAGTGCACTTATATTTCTAACAGTAACGCACAAGTAATTTTAGGATTTTATACTAAACTGAATTAAAATAATTCGACTAAGTTAGACTAATTCAGTTGAATTCAATTGCTAATGACTAAAAATTGTATTAATTTAATTTATACAAAAAATAAGAAGTGGATTGTAAACAGATGCGATATTTTATACGCTTGTATTATTTTGAGTGAATTAGAAATAAAACAGTTTTAATTAATTGTGGTTAATTTAATTTAAAAGCGAAGTTTCAGATTAGAAAAGAAAATGGAAAATAAATTAAATTAATTGAGACGTTAGCAGTTTTTGAAACGAGAAAGGAAAATTTCTATTAAGACAGGTTTCGAACGAGTATTATTATATACATAGAGGAAAAGGAAAGAGATAAAAATATTTTGGTAACATAATTTGGTTCTGGGTAATAATAAAACAATAATCCTAGAAGGTAAATGGGATTTTACGATTAATGTTTATTGAAAATTTTCACTTTTGTCTAATTAGTTCAATTTTTTACAGTGAGTCATCAAATTGCAGTCTTTTGAGAGAGACAGGATAGGAAACAGTAGTCAATTCAGAAGAAAATTGCAAACTTTGGATCTTCGATTCCAAGGCGATAAAGAAGGAAGAAACAAGATATAAAAGGGTAAGTCAAACAAATATCTATAATAATAAAAATTATTAAAAAATTTTTCTCTTGTCTAATTAACTCGAAAAAATTTTTTTACAGTGAGGCATCAAACCTCAGTTTTTGGAGAAAGAGAGGAAATGAAGCAGTAGTCAATTCTGAAGAAAATAGGCAAACTTTGGATTTTCAACAAAAAAACAAAATTAGATCTACGGTTCCAAGGCGACAAAGAAGAAAGAAACAAGAAATAAAAGGGTAAGTCAAACAAATATTTATACTAAAAAAATATTTCATTTACATTCAATTCAAGAATTTTTTTCTGATAATCGAATAAAATTTATAACAAATTCATTATTTATAAAAGTTAAAAAATTCAAATATGTTATAAAAAAAATCAAAAATATTCTAATCGTAGAATAAAAAATTGAGGTAATCATGCAGAAGGAAATACATATTTTATATATATGTGATAATTAGGTATTAGAAAAATTTTAAATTAAATTAAAATATTAATTTAATATAATCTATTAATTAAAAATTAGTTCAAATTATTTGAATAATTTATTATAAATTATTAGATACAAATTTTTTAATATTACTTAAGAATCCCTAATATTAAAAATTGATTTTTTATCACAAAATGCCCTTTGTACGAACGGGCATAGTAACGTTTACTACTTAAATAAAACTAAAAAAAATAATTTTTAAAATTTGATAATTTTTATAAATATTTGACAACTCATTGACAATGTAATCATATAAACTAAATTTTACTATAAAAAATTCTGTAATTAATTAAATATTATGAATTTTTTTTACTGATTCTTATTGAATTTCTTTTACAAAAGTAAAATTTTATATATTAATATTCCGCATTCTAGCTCATTATTCCTTAACTAAAAAATTGTATTATAAAATTAGATAATTGTTTTTTATCCTTGAAAAAAATAGTAAAAATCGAAAATAATAGAAAACAGGAATTCATAATGAAATAATTATTAGAAATTAAAAATAAAAAACAATCACTAGAAATTTTTAATAATTTTTTATTTATTTTATGTATATTTTTCTTTTTTGTCTTTTTAAATTATTGATAATTTTTGAAAATCAATATTCTTAATTTTAGTCGTCAAATTTTCAATATTGAGAATTAAGGGGAAAGTCAATCCCTTATTGTAAACAAGGAAGTTAATGACCTTCAGTACTGTTCGAAAATTTGTTTTGAAATTGCTTTATTTTATAAAAGAATATCACAAATATTTTACGAAAAATAATTCTTTTTGTAAATTCGAAAAATGGAAAAAAATTAATAGCACTGAATATGTGATAATTAAAAATAAGAAAGCAAGAACAATTAAAATTTTTTGAATCAATTATTATTAATAATAGTAAAAATCAGAAAAAATTTTCCACGTAAAATTTTATTTCACCGAGTAATTTTAATTTCTTTATTCTCAATATTTTAGTCGTCGACTTTTCAAAAATTGAGAATTAAGGGGAAAGACAAATCCTTATTGTAAACAAGAGAGTTAATGACCTTCAGTACTGTTCGAAAATTTGTTTTGAAACTGCTATGTTCTAGAAAAAATATATTATTTTACGAAAAAACAAGAATAGAAATCAGCAGAAATTTTTCATGGGAAATTTTATTTTATAGAGTAATCTAAATTTTTTTGTACATTTTATGAAAAAGCATTTTTTCATAAATTTTAATAGAAAATAATTTAAAATTTTAGAGATAAATAATTTCAATAATTTAACGACTTTGAAATAATGAAAAATATAAAAGAAAAGTTCTTAGTCTCATATTGTAAACAAACGACAATTACGACCTTCGACATTGTTAATAGAGGTTGTTTGCATTCTGTACTTGTCTATCTTTTCGACAACGACAATAAAATTTCGAAATTCAATTTGTGCCTTTCCCCTTCCAATTTTTCATGCGTAGATAATTTTTGCCTTCTACCACTACTACCTAAGGGAATTTGCCATAGCGTCACAGGTCATTAACCAACATTGGTGGGACAGGTAGTTAAAGATAAAACTTTATTTAATACCCAATAAACTGAATTTTATTTCATATTTCTAATTGTTTAAATAAATTAGATTCGACAGCTCAAAAAGTTGAGTTAATAGTTTATAATCAAGAAGGTGATTTTCTTTTTCTTATTTAATTCAAAATTTCCTTGCAGAGTTGCAGTACGCCAGAATTTTTCAAAGCAACAGAATAGAAAACGGTTCATTCGACGGAACACTGAAGAATAATGCAATCTGCAACTCATTGATTTCAAGTTGATAAGGAACGATAAATCACAAAAGGGGTAAGTTAAAAAATAGTTGTTAATAGTTTACTGCTTATAATTTTTTTCAAACTGAGAAATATTTTCTGAGTTTGCAAAAAAATTAAGCTTATAATTTTTTTCATACTCAGAAATATTTTCAGAGTTTGCCAAAAAATTAAAAACTTTTTCCATCCAATACATTTGCCTTAAATTAGACATTTTCCATAAATTTTCTAAATTTAAAATATTAATGTCCACTGCTGCACATTATTTTAAGCAGCAATAACTGTTTATAATTTTTTTCATACTCAGAAATGTTTTCTGAGTTTGAAAAAAAATTAAGGACTTTTTCCATCCAATAGATTCGCCTTAAATTAGACATTTTCTATTTTTAAACTGTTAATGTCCACTGCTGTACATTATTTCAAGCAGTAATTACTGCTTATAATATTTTTCATAGTCAGAAATGTTTTCTGAGTTTGCCAAAAAATTAAGAAATTCTTCCATCCAATAGATTCGCCTTAAATTGGACATTTCCTATAAATTTTCTATAATTAAATTATTAATGTCCACTGCTGTACCTTACTTTAAGCAGTAATTACTGCTTATAATTTTTTTCATACTCGGAAAGGTTTTCTGAGTTTGCCAAAAAATTAAGGACTTTTTCCATCCAATAGCTTTGGCTTAAATTAAACATTTTCTATTTTTAAAATATTAATGTCCACTGCTGTACCTTACTTTAAGCAGCAATTACTGCTTATAATTTTTTTCATACTCAAAAATGTTTTCTGAGTTTGCCAAAAATTAATTAACTCTTCCATCCAATAGCTTTGCCTTATATTAAACATTTTCTATTTTTAAAATATTAATGTCCACTGCTGTACATTATTTCAAGCAGTAATTACTGCTTATAATTTTTTTCATACTCAGAAATGTTTTCTGAGTTTGCCAAAAAATTAAGAAATTCTTCCATCCAATAGATTCGCCTTAAATTGGACATTTCCTATAAATTTTCTATTTTTAAATTATTAATGTCTACTGCTGTACCTTACTTTAAGCAGCAATTACTGCTTATAATTTTTTTCATACTCAGAAATGTTTTCTGAGTTTGCCAAAAAATTAAGGACTTTTTCCATCCAATAGATTTTCCTTCAATTAAACATTTTCTATTTTTAAAATATTAATGTCCACTGCTGTACCTTAGTTTAAGGAGCAATTACTGCATATAATTTTTTTATACTCGGAAAGGTTTTCTGAGTATGCAAAAAATTAAGGACTTTTTCCATCCAATAGATTCGTCTTAAATTGGAAATTTTCTATTTTTAAAATATTAATGTCAACTGCTGTACATTATTTTAAGCAGTAATTACTGGTAATAATTTTTTACACGCTCAGAAATGTATTTTGAGTATGCAAATAAATTAAAGACTTTTTCCATTCAATGGAATCGCCTCAAATTAGACATTTTCTATAAATTTTCCATTTTTAAACTATTAATGGCCACTGCTGTACCTTACTTTAAGCAGCAATTACTGCTTATAATTTTCTTATACTCGGAAAGGTTTTCTGAGTATGCAAAAAAAATTAAGGACTTTTTCCATCGAATAGATTCGCCTTATATTAAACATTTTCTATTTTTAGAATATTAATGTCAACTGCTGTACATTATTTCAAGCAGTAATTACTGCTTATAATTTTTTTCATAATCAGAAATATTTTCTGAGTTTGCCAAAAAATTAAGGACTTTTTCCATCAAATAGCTTTGCCTTATATTAAACATTTTCTATTTTTAAAATATTAATGTCCACTGCTGTACCTTACTTTAAGCAGCAATTACTGCTTATAATTTTTTTCATAGTCAGAAATGTTTTCTGAGTTTGCCAAAAAATTAAGGAATTTTTCCATTCAATAGATTCGCCTTAAATTAGACATTTTCTATAAATTTTCCATTTTTAAACTATTAATGGCCACTGCTGTACCTTACTTTAAGCAGCAGTTACTGCTTATAATTTTTTTATACTCGGAAAGGTTTTCTGAGTATGCAAAAAAAATTAAGGACTTTTTCCATCCAATAGATTCGTTATAAATTAGACATTTTCCATAAATTTTCTATTTTTAAAATATTCATGTCCACTGCTGTACATTACTTCAAGCAGTAATTACTGCTTATAATTTTTTTCCTAATCAGAAATGTTTTCTGAGTTTGCCAAAAAATTGAGGACTTTTTCCATCCAATAGCTTTGCCTTATATTAAACATTTTCTATTTTTAAAATATTAATGTCCACTGCTGTACATTATTTCAAGCAGTAATTACTGCTTATAATTTTTTTCATACTCAGAAATGTTTTCTGAGTTTGCCAAAAAATTAAGGACTTTTTCCATCCAATAGAATCGCCTTATATTAAACATTTTCTATTTTTAAAATATTAATGTCCACTGCTGTAAAATATTTCAAGCAGTTACTGCTTGAAATTAATCAAGCAATTAATCAAGCAATTACTGCTTATAATTTTTTTCATACTCAGAAATGTTTTCTGAGCTTGCCAAAAAATTAAGGACTTTTTTCATCCAATAGATTCGCTTTAAATTAGACATTTTCCATAAATTTTCTATTTTTAAAATATTAATGTCCACTGCTGTACATTATTTCAAGCAGTAATTACTGCTTATAATTTTTTTCATACTCAGAAATGTTTTCTGAGTTTGCCAAAAAATTAAGGACTTTTTCCATCCAATTGAATCGCCTTATATTAAACATTTTCTATTTTTAAAATATTAATGTCCACTGCTGTAAAATATTTCAAGCAGTTACTGCTTGAAATTAATCAAGCAATTAATCAAGCAATTACTGCTTATAATTTTTTTTCATACTCAGAAATGTTTTCTGAGTTTGCCAAAAATTAAGGAATTCTTCCATCGAATAGATTCGCCTTAAATTAGACATTTTCTATAAATAAGACATTTTTAAACTATTAATGGCCACTGCTGTACATTATTTTAAGCAGTAATTACTGGTAATAATTTTTTACACGCTCAGAAATGTATTTTGAGTATGCAAATAAATTAAAGACTTTTTCCATTCAATAGATTCGCCTCAAATTAGACATTTTCTATAAATTTTCCATTTTTAAACTATTAATGGCCACTGCTGTACCTTACTTTAAGCAGCAATTACTGCTTATAATTTTTTTCATAATCAGCAATGTCTTCTGAGTATGCAAAAAATTTAAAGACTTTTTCCATCCAATAGATTCGCCTTAAATTGGACATTTTCTATTTTTAAAATATTAATGTCAACTGCTGTACATTATTTCAAGCAGTAACTACTGCTTATAATTTTTTTCACAGTTAGAAATGTTTTCGGAGTTTGCTAAAAAATTAAGGAATTTTTCCATCCTATAGATTCGCCTTAAATTAGACATTTTCTATAAATTTTCCATTTTTAAACTATTAATGGCCACTGCTGTACATTACTTTAAGCAGCAGTTACTGCTTATAATTTTTTTATACTCGGAAAGGTTTTCTGAGTATGCAAAAAAAATTAAGGACTTTTTCCATCCAATAGATTCGCCTTAAATTGGACATTTTCTATTTTTAAAATATTAATGTCAACTGCTGTACATTATTTCAAGCAGTAATTACTGTTTATAATTTTTTTCATAGTCAGAAATGTTTTCTGAGTATGCAAAAAAATTAAGGACTTTTTCCATAAAATAGACTCGCTTTAAATTAGACATTTTCTATAAATTTTCTATTTTTAAACTATTAATGTCCACTGCTGTACCTTACTTTAAGAAGCAATTACTGCTTATAATTTTTTTTCATACTCAGAAATGTTTTCTGAGTTTGCCAAAAATTAAGGAATTCTTCCATCGAATAGATTCGCCTTAAATTAGACATTTTCTATAAATAAGACATTTTTAAACTATTAATGGCCACTGCTGTACATTATTTTAAGCAGTAATTACTGGTAATAATTTTTTACACGCTCAGAAATGTATTTTGAGTATGCAAATAAATTAAAGACTTTTTCCATTCAATAGATTCGCCTCAAATTAGACATTTTCTATAAATTTTCCATTTTTAAACTATTAATGGCCACTGCTGTACCTTACTTTAAGCAGCAATTACTGCTTATAATTTTTTTCATAATCAGCAATGTCTTCTGAGTATGCAAAAAATTTAAAGACTTTTTCCATCCAGTAGATTTGCCTTAAATTAAACATTTTCTATTTTTAAAATATTAATGTCCACTGCTGTACATTATTTCAAGCAGTAATTACTGCTTATAATTTTTTTCATAGTCAGAAATGTTTTCTGAGTTTGCCAAAAAATTAAGGAATTTTTCCATCCAATAGATTCGCCTTAAATTAGACATTTCCTATAAATTTTCTATTTTTAAACTATTAATGTCCACTGCTGTACCTTACTTTAAGCAGCAATTACTGCTTATAATTTTTTTTATACTCGGAAACGTTTTTTGAGTTTGCCAAAAAATTAAGGAATTCTTCCATCCAATAGATTCGCCTTAAATTAGACATTGTCCTTAAATTTTCTCTTATTACCTTATTTTAAGCAGTAATTACTGGTTATAATTTTTTTCATACTCAGAGTTGTCAAAAAAAGTTAAGACATTTTTTCATTTAAAAGATTTACCTAAAATTAGACATGTTTTTAAAATTTGTAATTTTTCAATTATTATTGTCCGCTGCTGTACGTTGCCATGACCAATAATTATTGTTTGTTTATATTTTTTTTATACTCGGGAATATTTACTGAGTTCGTAAATAATTAAGACCGTTTCCTAGCCAATAGATTTCTTTCAAATTAGATGTTTTCCTGAAATTTACAGCTTTCAATCATTATATTCTGTACAATAGGTATTGTTTAGTTTGAAATTTCTGAAAGTTTTGCAAATCATTAATGTCAATGTTTATTTTATTGATAAATAATTCAGAATTAGAAGAGAATTAGTAACACGTTTTATGATCTTTTTATTTATTATGCATATTACACATTACATTTTTATACATATTATAAGTATGATTATTATTAATTAATAAATTATTAATTATAAAATAGAAGTAAGTAAAATTATAAACTTAAATATCATGTAAAATTTTATTTTTTCTTGATAACTTCTAATTTTTTTTTAAATGTTGTTTTAGAAAATTATTGAAAATTTTATAAACTGTAGTCTTCTCAAAATCTCAGAATTACAAGGAATAGTAAAATTAAAAAAAAGAAATTTAATTTACCTTCAGCATTGTTAGAGAATTTGTTTGGAAATTTCTTTGTTTAAAAAGAAAATTAAATTTCAATGTTATTAAGAAAAGTAATATTTCGTAATAAATAAATGTTTATTTCGGAAAAAATTCTTAAAAATAAAAGTGAAATAATTATAAAACTCAAAACTCAGAAAATTTAAAATAAAAAAAGTAAAATTTCAAAATTTTTAAGTATCATTATTTTTAATTAATCAATAAAAATATAAATAAGTATAATTATTAATTAAAATTTCATGTTAAATTTTTCTATTGGCTATTTCTAATTTTTTCTTAAAATTTTGAAAATCATTAAATATTTGAATATTTAGTGGACTTTTCATTAATTCAGATTTAGAGGGAAAAGTTAATCCCTTCTTGTAAACAAGAAGTTTTATGATCCTCGGCATTGTAGGGAATTTGATATTTTCTTTCCATCCTCGCCTTTTTTCTCAACGACAATAAAAATAAGAAATTAAAATTGAGCCTTTTCCAAATTTTTGTCTTCATGGTAAATGATTTTCGCCTTTTATCAGAGTAAGTTTCCCATAGTACATATCACAGTTCCCTTGACCATCTTTAGTGGAGTAACCAGTTGAACAATAAATTTTATTTCTCCATAGAATTAACTGTTATTCAATATTTTTAATAGTTTTAAGTGAAATAAGGGCTTAAAAAATAAAACAATATAAAATTTTATCTGTCAAATAGGATATGCAAGAGTCTTAAAACTTGGACACATTTTTGAAGAAAGGAATTCATATTAAATGCTCTGGTCATTCTTTATAATGAGTAAGTACCAAAACTATTAGTTTTTTTAAGCATTGAAAAAATAGTAATTTAAATTAATAAATAGTGTAATTTAATACGTGAATAATAGAAAAATTAATTAAAATTAACAGAATTTTATTTATTGATAACTTATAATATTAATTAGATTTATAATAATTTGGTGCTACAATTTATTTGGTTTTTTTATTAATATGTTTTAATTTAATTAATTATTCATTGCTTCCTTGAATCAAACGTGTAGTTTGATTAAATAAATAATATTTTGTAGCAGTAATTAAAAAAATTTTAAACGTAGGAATTAATTTTACTTAGGGTAGAGTGGGGTAAAAAAGCCACATTTTTACTTTTGATGTTGTAAAATCTGTATTTAAAATTTTTTTCTCAAATTTCCAATTGTTATTGAAAGTTTAGTTATTAAGCTTGAAAATTCTTGACGGAAATATTTTTTATCTCATGAAAGGACTAAGTTATAAGAGTTTTACGAAAGCACTGTAAGTGGCTTTTTTGCACCACCTGGTGGGGTGAAAAAGCCACCCTACGATTTTAGCAAAACATGTTATCAATTTAGGTATTTTTATAGTTTCCCTTTATTTATATGACAAATAGTCTTATTTGAAAAATATTCTAATAATTATGAAAGAGTTTTTAGCAAGCAAAATTGAAAATTATATTAAGTTTACCTGTTTTCGATTTGCACTGCCAATTTTTCGTACCTTTTTTAGAAGTTCTCTTTAAGTTTTACCACAGATAACATATTTCGTTGCAACCGTTTATTCATTGATTATTTTTTAAATGCACTTTGAACTACTTTTTCGTCGTGTTTAATTTATTTTATTTAATAAACACGAGAAATTTTGTAAAATAAGAAGGTTAGTTCAAATAGAAAACAAGTGAATTTCACAAAATATTCAATGGATTTTTTGCCCTGGCTTTTTTACACCCAAGACCAGTTATTAAAAAAAGCAAAAATAAATTGTTAATTCAGTTCAATTTCCAAAAATTAACATTGTATTCGTTTTCGGTATACTTTTCTCCTTATGTACAAACATTTACTTTTATTATTCGTTCACTTAATCAAATTGTAATATGTTTGAAAAGTTCACCAAAATGTTTTCAAAAAAGCAACAAAAAATTAAAATTACAATAAAAACAATATTAATCTAGGTACAACATTCAAATTAGATTCAAAAGTTGCGTATTACCTAATAGTATTTATATTCTAAACAGCTGATAAATCGGCTTAATAGTTTTTAAATAAAACTCAAATGGCTTTTTTACACCATGGCTTTTTTACCCCACTCTACCCTATGTACTTTTTTCTACGACTTAAATTTTTTTTATAGAGACATATTTTTTTTGGAGTCATCGAAGAGAAGTCGACAACGAAACAAGAGTCAAAAGAAGACACCGTCGCGTGATTGAAAAATGTTTTAAAAATCTTCGATATCTCGTGAAGTATTTAGCTTTTATTGTATTAGGAAATATTATTACTTAGCTAGGGATTTTGAAACTAAAAAAATGCAAATGTATTAGCTAGGAAATTATCAAAGTATGTAAGTAGTTTTAAGCAGAAAACAAAATTTATTCTTCAAGAAGATTCATCATCCGGCGTCAACTTTATCTCAACATTAAGGGGTAAGTCAAAAATAATATTTTATTATTCTTTATCTTATCCTACACCCAGGAAATTGTTTTATTTAATTAAAAAAAAATCTATTAACGTTATTCTTTACTTAAAGAAAATTATTTTAAATTAATTTAAATAAAATTGTATTTATATTTCTCACCAAAAAAGATTTTCAAAGGAAAAATTTTATTCAATAAAAAATTTCTTTTTTAACAACATATTACTTTATTTACTTCCTCATAGAGGAAGTATTGTAATACCGAAATTTTTCGAGTTCGATTTTTTTGACATATCTTTATGTTATTTGACCTCAGGAGTTCAAAAATGACATTTTTAAAAAATGTCATTCCGTGTGTGTGTGTGTGTGTGTGTAAACATCACATTTTCATAAATATCTCGAAATCATGAAGAGCTTTTGGGTTGAATTTTTTTTTAAATTGTAGATCTCACCTGCGGACAAAAAGTGAGAGTACTTTGAGATAGATTAATAAAGTTTAACTAAATTTTTTTTGGATTTTTAATTTTGCAAAAAAACGTTTTTTGCCCATAACTTTAAAAAAATGTTAGGACACCTATAAATGTTTTTCCATAATTTTGTAGAGTTTTTTTAGACGCATCTTTTGAGCCCTAATTGAACATTTTTCGTCCATATTAACCGGAGATATTAAACTTTTAAAAATTCAAAATTTTGGAAAATAAGACTTTTTTAAAAATTTTGTTGAAAATGTAGAAGTAATCTTAAAATTATCGTTACCGACTTGTAGAGCTTCAAAAAACGCTTCGATTGACCTATTTTTGAACCTAATTCGATAATAAATTTCGAAATTATTGGTATTTTAAAAACCAAAAATTGTAAAAAATGACATTTTCTCAACTTTTTTGATTGAAAATTTTTGTTTAACTATTAAATTATTGTAACTATCTTGTAGAGTATTTAAAAATACATTGATTGACCCAAGATTCAATCACTTTTACCATATTTATAAAAAGTTATTCATATATTTCTATTATTTTTATCTCTATGAGGAAGTAAAGTGTTCATGAAATGAGCACCAAAATTATACAAAAAAATATACAACTTGGCAGCGGTTTTCTCTCTCTAAATTTTGAATCAAATGAAACCTATTATCTTGAATGAAAAAAATTCGACATATAATTTTATAAATAACAATACTTAAACAATCTGCTTTTAATGAAACAACATCTGGGTGTAGGTTTTAGTTTTAAACAGTAGTTAGTATTTATTGTGCTCCAATGATACATGCTTTTAAAAATTGAGAAATTTTCGATTTAAAGTTATAAAATTATAAATTACATTAATAATTTCATTTGATTTATAATTTCAAAATATACTTTCTGTTTTTTAATTTAATTTAAACAGGTTGTCTAACAACGATTGACAAAAGATTCCCCGCCTTTTAACTAATTTTATTTCTTCTTTCTGTGGACAAAAATATGGTAACTGACATATTTAACAATAAATAATTATCACATGATAGAAACAAACGATAATATAAATCTTCTAACTTTTGTAAGATTAAAAAAAAATTTTATTCACAAAAGATTTTAACTTTTGTATAAATAAAAATATAAATTTTTAGAAATTTCTCTATCTTTCAATGAAATTCTCTGACATTTCTATGACTTTACTGACCGTTAGACCCTGTTGAATTTAAACTTTGGGTAAGCCTTTATTTCAATTAATTAAACGTCTATTGAAACGAAAGTTAATAACCATAAGTTTAAAACATTTAATATAGTCGAATTTAAAAATTTAGAAATAATTTTAAAAATGGAATATTCTGAAGTTTTAAAATAAATTGAAATATCATTTTCTCAATTTTTAGAAACATTAAAAATCCATAGTAGATTATATATTTTTATTGACAAAAAAATTAGTGCGTATTTTTGTCGTGCCAAAAAAAAGATTTCCAGAAATTGCAAAAAAAAAATAGTACTAAACCTTCTTGTAAGTTATATTTGACTAATTTTGCAAATTTTTAAGTTCAAATATTCTATTGTTAAATTTTAGTAATTAATTTAAATAATTCCATTTTCTTAATTAAATTTTTTATTCATTTCTTCCTTTAATTTTTTTCCTTAATTTTTTTTAATTGTGTATTAACTTTTAAATCACATTTTTTATTTTCTTACTTGTTTTTTCTTTTTTACTTTATTTTCTAGTTTTGAAATTTATATTTATTTGTACACGGAGAAAATTTGTTCCTTATATTTTATAGAATTTTTCAATATAAAAGTTGGGATATAATGGCGTAAACGTAATTATTTAATATTTCACGAAGATTTCTAATAATTAATTTAGTAATTTCAAACTTTCAAATTTATTCAAAATACGTATATTTTTAAAATTTAACATAAAAATTAGAGAATAGGAATTTTAATAAATTACTGTTTCATTATATTAAATATAAATTCAAACATTATTCTATATTCTATACAATAATAAATGTTTTATCGAATTTAAATTTAGTAAAATTTCAGGAATAAATTTTGTCCGTGTACAACACTTACATTTATGGAATTTATTAATTTCTTTAAATTTAAATGTTAAATATTTCTTTTTAATAATTTATTTTTCTATTTTGTTTTCTTATTTAAACTTTTTATTTTCTTTCTTTACTTCACTTAATTAGTTTTTCTAATATTCTATAATTTTTGTTTGTTTAAAGTTAAAAACAATTTATTTACTTGTTAAGTTTTTATTGAAAAGATATTTAGAAAACGTAAAAATAACTTTTATGCAACTTAGGCGTATTATTTTCACTTTATCTACCTGGACCTTTATTGACCGCTCGCAGGTCAATAAAGTACCCATTATGACTCTAGGGTAATAATAGTATTGACCAGTGGGTTACATGGGAGAACTTAGCAAACACCGGCACAGATAGCCAATAGTGACCATAATACGCCTTTGTTGCATAAACTAAAGTATGTAACATGTATCCAGAGAAAAGATATATTTGGCTCAGAACCAACTAGACTTTATATTTGTTTCAAATAAATTTTATTTGGTTTAAATAACATTTTATTTAGCTCAAATATATTTTATTTACGTCGAATAAAATTTTTATTTGAAACAGATAAAAAGTGTAGTTGGTTCTGAGAGAAATATAAGTTTATTTAACTCAAATAAAATATATTTGGTTTTAATAAAATTTCTCTCTGCGTGTGGGAGGTAACCTCGGCACATAAACTCGGACTTACCTCCCTTTTCTACATAATGTACTATTATTTATTTGATATTTATTTATGATTTACTATTTTTTAAAACAAAGAAAAAAATTTGCAAAATTATATATACAAAGGGAAAAAGGTTATATTTGTTGGTACAATTCTTAAAAGTAAAAAAATTTTATTTTAGAAAAAACTTTTATTTTACTTCTTAAAAAAGTACATTTTCTTGTAATTCTTCTTTCTTCTTAAATTAACGCAAAATAACTGTTGTCGATCCAAAGGTAGCATCAGACTTGAACCATCTAGAAAACAGAAAATAGACGAAGTTTAATAATTAACAGGTAGAGAATTTTATTGTTAATTGAACGGCACGCATAAAGTTTACGCACTTTTATTTTTGTTGAGAAAAATTAAGGAAGAAGGAGAATTGAAAATGTCTTCAGTAAGGAACTTCAATTCCTCTTCATTCCTTATGATATTTATTTCTAAATTTGAATCAGTTAGTCATAATTATACATCATTGATTTCGATTGAAAGTAATTGAAATTTATGCTGTATAATTATCGCTAAAAATACTTCTGATTGATTTAAATAATCGAATTTTCCTCTTCCTTCAACACTTTCCAATCTTCCTCCAACACTTTCCAACCTTAGTTCCTAAACCTCCCCTCCTTTTTTCCGATTTTTCTATCCCCTCCCTTTCCTACTCTTACAATGGAGAGTTAGTTCTCTGTTGGTGGAAGGAGAAGTAGGAAATGGAGGGAATAGGAAAGGAGGAAGTTGACGACTTCTCTCTCTCCCTAGTGAGAAAAAGAAGTCGTTTTCCAAGTGGGAGAGTTTGACGACTTTCTCTTCCACTTGGGATAAATCTCCCACTTTGGAGAAAACAAAGTCGTCCTCGAGGAGAGAGTTTCCGACTTCGATCTCCTCGATTAGGGAAGTTGGAAATGGAGACTTTCCACTTCTCAGTAGAAGTCGAAGTCAAGGAGAGGAGCACCACAACTCTCCTTGAGAAAGAAAAAGAGGGGGGTGTACATCATTTTTTTTTCATCTCTTAGAGATCGGTATTCACAGTGACCTTCTTACCCGTTCGACTTCTTCTGGAATTGAGAAAGTCGCCATCCCCTTTCTGAGGACGACTTCAGACTTTTCTCTCTTCCTACTCAAGGAGAGTGAAGTCGACAACTTCTCTCCTTGAGGACGACTTCGTTTCCCAGGCGGGGAGAGAAAGTCGTCACACTCTCCCCTGGGAAAAGTTAAGGGAGGAGGAAATTCTCAAGTCCTTCACTAGGGAGTCTGTGAAGGACTGAGTTTGGTGGAAAGACTTTCTTCGGAAAGAAGACTTGTTGCAAGTCTTTTCCACCAAAAGGAAAGGAGGGAGAACTGATGTCTGCTCTTCCATTGGTCAACAGAGACTAGCCGGTCCCCCAGGGAAAGATACGACACTTCATCTTACTCCCAAAGAGCAACTTCTTTCTACTTGGGGGGAAGAAGTTGCCCTGCTCCCTAAAGAGTAAGAGAAGCGCGTTTTCCCTAGGGGAGACTGAGTCCCTCCAAAAGGAGAGGTGACATCAGCTCTACTAGGTAGATAGAGAAGTCGGTCCCCCTGGGAAAGAAGACGACACTTTGCCTTATTCGCCAGGAGTGAAGCATCTACTAATGTAGATATTGCCCCACTGTCCAGAGAATAAGTAAAGTGCGTTTTCCCTAGGGGAGACTTAAAAGACAGAAAAAATAAGAAGAAATGTAAAAAAGAAAATAGAAGAAAAAAGGTAGTTGAGAGAAGCAATTAACCCAGCCGTTTACCAAAGAGACAGTGAACGACTAAGTTGGAAAATCTAGTCGGTCCTCCAGGGAAAGAAGACGACACTTTGCCTTATTCGCCAGGAATAAGTCAATTTCTACCACTAGTGGGAGAAACTGTCCTATTCTCCAGAGAATAAGCAAAATGCGTTTTCCCTAGAGGAGACTAAAGTGAAAATACAAAGAGAAAGAAATAAGATGTTCACTTCCTCTTATTTTCCAGGCGTAAAACAATTCCTGCCACTGCTGGAAGAAATTGTTCTACTCTTAAGAAAATAAGTGAAGTGCGTTTTCATAAGGAAATTAAATGGAAATAAAATGATAAATTGATACATAGAATGGAGAAAAAACAAGTCGGTTCCCTCCAGGGAAAGACACGATCACTTCATCTTTTTCGCCAGGAGGAAAACAATTTCTGCTGCTGGTGGGAGAAATTGTCCTACTTCTCAGAGAATAAGCGGAAGTGCGTTTTCCCTACAAGAAACTGAGATGCCGACTTCACTTCATTTGCACTACAAAAAATATACTCTATTATAATTAATATAGTAATAATTTACTGTTACCCAAGAGATTCAATAATCTTTTTTTTTTGTTTCAGGATAATAAGATTCAAAACTAGAAGGAGGAGAAAACTGAAAATCGATTCATCATCTAAATGGAGGATTTTTAACTACTATAATGACGATTTTCTTTTTTTTTTTTTTTTTTAAAAATTTATAACTTAGAACCGAATATTCTTTTGTACAATCTTTCATAAAAAGATAATAAACTGTTAAATAATAAATGAAATGTAATAAACTAATTTATATGTAGTATTAATTGAAACTTTCAACCGGCAGAAATCTAATTATATAGTTTATTATCTCGATCACCCCGAGTCAGATATTTACACTTACATTTATGGTTATATTTTTATATTTAACTAATTTATAGTAAACTGAATTTATACTCTGTTAAATTTAGTCGTAATTAAATAAAAATAAAATTTTTTAACATGAATGTAACTGTAAAGAGGATTCAGGAACTAGCCAGAGAGTATTATTAGCAAATTCAGGATAGCCACAAGTCATGTCAGTTAAAGAATAATTAGGGAATTTGTAAAAATTCTTAAAAGTCCAAAGTCAGAAAACAAAAATTTAATCGAAAAGAAACTACAAATTTAAAAAATCTGCTTAAGTGAATGTTTCCGTTACAAATAAAATTGTTATTTAAAAACAATATAAAATTTTTAATCAGTTATGCAAAATTTTAAATGATTCTAAAATTCGTTAGTCCAGAAAAAAGAGGAATCAGACCGAGAATTTGTAAATCAAATTTTGCGATCATCCTGAAGTTACTTATTTTCAGATATTAAAAAATTTCCTCCTTTCTGTATAGTAGCCTTGCGTGCGCTTATATTTTAATTTGAATAAAAAAAATATGTAATACTGTATGATTTAATATATTGATAAATAAAATGTTGTATTAAAAAATAGCAATTCATATATTATTGACTTCTTTAATTCCTATCTTTAATTATTAAGCAAAATAGTTAAGAAAAATAATTCTATTCGAAAACAATGGAAAACAAGGATTTAGACTTGTACTCAGATGCAAGCGCTACTACCAGTTGGGTAACAGTAAGTATTGTATAAACAAATTGTACCAATTACTGTGATATTTCAGCTATAAGAAATACTTACAATTCAAAGTAATAAGTACAATTTTAAATAATGAAATTAAAATTTTATTTATTGGTTTTATTTATCATGGTTTAGTATTTTTTCTTATAAATTTTTTAATTTAAATAATTTTATTACAATTACATTAAAATTTTAAGAAAAAAATTCTTTTATTAAATTTAGAGAGGGCGTTAAAAGGTTAAGTTTATAAAATGTTTTATATCTTTATAAAACTATAAAGTAAAGATACTTCTAAAAAAATCACAGTAATTGGTACCTTACTAACTACAATTCAAACTAAAACCTACACCAGGATATTCTATTTCATTAAATAAAAATACGCATTTACTGAAAATATTATTTTTCTTTTAATAGATTAAAATTAAAATTTACTTTTACTTATAATTTAATTTATATTTTATTTGTTTACAAAAAATTAATATATTTAGTGATTTTATGTTTAGAAAGTTAATAGATAAAATTTCTTTTACTTAAAATTGTTTTTTTCATAAAAAATTTCAATGGGAATATATTTAAATTAATTTAACTTTTAAAATTAAGATTGAAATTAAAAAAACAAATTGGTTAGCAGAAAAATGAAACATTTTCCTGGATGTAAGCTGTAATAAAGGTAAATGAAAGTTAATTTCCAAGACTTACCCCAAATCAGCGGTGAAAAAATGTTGCTGTACAGTTGACGATGGCGTTGCTCCTCTTGTGTGCAATTAAAATTATTTTTTGTCTTTAAAACTATTAACTTACTTTTCTAATTTCCTGGCTAATACAATTTGTTACAAAATACCTAGCTAAATAAATTTCAACACACAAATATTTTTGACATTCGACGAAAACTAATCTAATACATTTAAAGCTAAACCCTAAATTCAGTATGAAGATTTTCCGGCATTTTTGAGGAACACTTCGGTGAATTGTTGAGTCTTCTTTTCCTTCGGATTTATTACTGATGATTGTGGAACAAAAATATCTCTGTAAAAAAGTTGAGTCAGTTAGACAAGAAGAAAATATTTAAACAAATACATAAATAATTATTATTAATTATTAAAATTTATTAAAACAATTCAAATAATTCAAATAATATTTAATTAAATTAAATATATACATACAAATATTACAAAATAAATAAAACAATAAAAATAAATGAAATAAATAAATATTTAATTGTAAACAAAAATATATTTTACAATGTAATTTATCATTTTACAAATTTAAAATTTTTAAAATTTATTAATTATAGTAATTAAATTTTCTACTTATATAAATTATAATATCTGTTAAAATTGCATTTAAAAAAGTATATTCTTTGTTACTTAATAGTAGATGGTCAAATAATAAAAAAAATTTATTAAATTTACTAATTTGATAAAAAGAAAAATTTAACAATTTTTTTCACCAAAGGAGACCAACGAACTGCGATTCTATAGCCAACTTATTTAACTTGAAGGCAAAAATTGTCAACGAAGGAAAGAAAAAAAGGGGGAATTATTATTTCTTACTTTTATTGTCGAAGAAGTGAAGATAGACAAGGACGAAACGAAAACAATTTCTTTTAACAATGCCGAGGGTCATTATCTTCCTTAATTACAATAGAGGATTACTTCTCTTACTAATACTGAATTCTTAAAAACTCGAATAAATTTTGAAATTAATAATAAAATTTTAAAAAGAGATAGAAATTCGCAAATTTTTTCAGAACTCTACAAATGTTCCCGAGTGTGGAGAAAAATATAAACAATAATTATTGCTTATATTAGTGTACAGCACTTGACATTATTTTCGAGAAATTAAGTTATTTAAAATAAACCTTGTTAACAATAGAGGATTAACTTAACTTGCCTTTCAAATTCAGAATTCTATACAAGCCGAATAAATATTGAAATTAATGATTTCTCAAATTTTCTATAATTTTCCACTAGAATTTAAAGAGAAAAAAAACTACTGAATAGAAAAACGTCATACACTGTTAGAAAAGAATTGAAAATTCAACAACTTTTCAATTACATTAGTTATTGAATTTGAATTCAATTCAGTTTGTATTGAAAATTAAAGAACTTGAAGTGAATATTCATTGGTTCGTAATTGAAAAAACAGACGCAGTTATTGAAAATTCATTACTGTTATTGAAAAAATGAAAATCCATTAGTTTGTAATTGAAAAATACATTCACAGTTATTGAAAATTCAATACTGTTATTGAAAATTCGTTACTGTTATTGAAAATTCAATACTGTTATTGAAAATTCAATACTGGTATTGAAAATTCATTACTATTATTGAAAATTCAATACTGTTATTCGAAATTCATTACTGTTATTGAAAATTCAATATTATTGAAATGTCATTACTGTTATTGAAAATTGAATAATGTTATTCAATATTCATTACTGCTGTTGAAAATTCAATACTATTATTGAAAATTCATTACTCTTATTGAAAAATCAATACTGTTATTAAAAATTCAATATTATTAAAAAGTCATTACTTTGTTGTTGAAAATTTAAAACTCTTACTAAAAATAAAAAATTCAAATTTCTTGTTGAAAATTTCAGTATATATTTTAAGTATACAAAAATTATTTTTTAATCTTTTTTTTAGAAGTAGAAATAATTCTTACAAATAACGGTTTCTTATAATTATTATTAATAGGTATTGCTATAAATAATTGAATATTGTAAAATATTTACGAAATTTTTCCGAAAATATGTTTGCTTTCTAAAAAAGATTTTGTAGCAAAAGATGAAAATGTTGGAAGTTTTTTTTCTTTTTCAAAGGTTTGCCACATCTGGTTTGTCTTAGGATGACCGTTCGTGAGGGGTTCTTATTGCAAAGAGCCTGTTTTATGACTTTTTCACGAACCGTTTTTTTTCGTATGGATTTATTGGAACCGAAAGTTTGTCAAATTTCTCAAATTGTAGAATATAGTAAAAATATTCGAAAAGTGAATATATTTTCTGACAAATTTTTTCCCCGAATCTTTTGAAGCGTCAGTTGCTCTTGAGCATTTGCTGGAGAAATACCAAATCTGCGTTTGATGAAACAATTTTTAAGTGAAAATATTGTGAAGTGCTGGATTTAAAAGCAGATAATATTTTTGGATTATTTTAAAGGATTTCAAAAAGGTAATTAATATTCAAAATTCTATAAAATTTTAATCAATTAAATGGTGTTTAGTCATTTTTGACGGTTTTTTTTTAATTTGAAGTTTTATTGATTAGTGCATAACCCACGCTTCGATATAAACAAAAAATTAATAGAAAAATTATTTTATTTATTTAATATTTTGATGTTTTCTTTTGTCATGTATTATTGGGTGAGGTGGCCATTAATGATTTTTATTTTAAATTTGTTATGTTAATGTTATATAATTAAGAACTATGAAAGAAAAACAAATTATAAATGTCTAAGAACAAAATAATTGATCTAATTGACACCAGAGATGGAGATATATTTGTAGGTTAACTCAGAAGACGATTTATTTAATTCAAACATACTTTGTTTAAATGAAACTTAAAAAATCTTTGCCATACAGACAAACATATGTAAGTTTGATTGAAAAATATTTTTTTTGGTTAATTTAAAGAAATAATATATTTAATTCAAACATAAGTTATGGTTGATTTTAAATTATTTATAATCAACTTTCAACTTTGAATGAAACATAACATTTTTAAACGTAACTTTTATTTAATTCAAAACTGAAAATAGGTTTGAATTAAATATAATTATTCAAACAAATAATATTTTTGAATCAAAGCAGTAGATATTTTCTCTATATTGGGATTAAACTTAAAAACTAATTGCAATTAAACGAAATCACTTATAATTATTTGTCTACCAGACAAATTATCCGCGCGCAGGAATTTTGTGTTGCACTGTTGTCAACAATTTCAAGTCATTTCAATTTAAGTAATTTTTAAAGAAATACTTATGACACATAACTGAAAAATTAATTAGAATTAAATTTTCAATTTATATTACATTTTTAAACTTTAAAGTATATAAAAAACACTTTAACGAATTTTGATACTAATTTAAAATTTGATTTCTTCATTACGAAAATTTTAATTATTCTGAAGAATAGAGAAGGTGAAAAAATTATTACATATTCAAATTTCTGAACAAAGAATATAAATAATATTATTTTTAGAGAATTTTCACTACTTTTTTTAATTCGCTAATTTTCAAGAAAGTTTCGAAAAAATTAATTATTTACCAAAATTTTATGCAATTTACTTTTTACAATAATTCAATTACGAACACTAATAATAAAATTATTTTCATTAATTATAAAACTCATCAAAGAATTTAAATTATTTTTATTACTATTTTAAATTAATAATCGAAAAATTCAGTTATTTTCACAAATAAAGTTTTCCACAAGAATTCAATTATTTAAGCTAATAAAATTTTCATAATATTTATTATATTTCGAAAAAATTAATTATTTAAAACAATGTTCATAAAATTCTTCTGAAGAATTCAATTATTTTCAAAAATAATAAAAATTTTCACAAAAATTCAATTCTTTTTAAACATTTTAATAAACTTCTCCGCAATAATTCAATTATTTTCAAAAATAATAAAATTCTTCTCTGTAATTCAATTATTTTTGGGAATTATAATAAAATTCCTAGCAACTGTTCAATTATTTTCGTTAAAATAATACAATTCATCGCAGGATTTCAATTATTTTTAATACAATTTTACAGGAATTGCTCAAAAAATGTAATGATTCTTAAAAACTTAATTTCAATACCTCGAGAAAGTCAAATTATTTAAAAAAAAGTTCTTTTCATATTTTTTGGAATGATTGAATAATTATTTTCAAGAAATTAATAAAATTGTTCGACATAAATTAATTGTTTTAAATACAATTTTAATTAAACTTTTTTGAAATAATTAAATTATTTTTTAAAATTTCGTTTCAGATTCATGCTAAAAATAAATCCAAAGGAAGAAGGAGACAAAAGAGCTGCTGGAGCTAAAAGAAGATTAACAAACTTTGAGATGTCAGTCAAAAAATTAGGCGATGAACTGAACAATTTTACAAATAAGTTTAGGGTGTAGTTCAAATGTAGTTAAAATGCAATAATAAACGATATACATTATAAGTTATATATGCATTTTAGTTTTAAATTATTTCTACCTGAACTTTCAATTAAGTATTAATTGTTTAGTTAAACTTTAATAAATTTTCAAATCTGGTTATTTAATTTTCATATTAATATTATTGAATGTTGAACTCTATGTTATTAAATTTCCAATTAAATGCTATTGCATTTTCAATAATACGTTATTCAATTTTCATATTAATATTATTGAATTTTCAATTATCTGTTACTTAATTTTCATATAAATGTTATTGAATTTTCAATTCTATTATATTATTGAATTTCCAATTCTATATTACTGAATTTTCAATTCTATGTTACTGAATTACCAATTCAATGTTATTGAATTCTCAATTTCATGTTATTGAATTTTCAATTCCATATTATTCAATTTTCAATTCAATGTTATTCAATTTTCAACTTCGTGTTATGGAATTTTCAATTTCATGTTGTTGAAATTTCAATTCCATGTTATTGAATTTTCAGTTCCATGTTATTGAATTTTCAACTTCGTGTTATTGAATTTTCAATTCCATGTAATTGTATTTTCAGTTCCTTGTTATTGAAATTTCAATTCCATGTTATTGAATTTTCAATTACAGTTGCTATTGAATATTCAACTCAATGTTATTGAATATTCAATTACACGTATTGATATGGACTTCACTTACATGTTATTGAAAATTCATATACATATTTCTAACAGTGTATTCAAAATAAGTAACATTTTTTAATAATGTCAATTTTTAAATATTCATTTATATAATATAAGAACAATTTTTAATTCTTAATTTAAATAAGCAATAAATATACTTATTACGAATAGACAAAATTAATTAATACTTTTTTATTATATTACAAGTTTTCGGTTTTGACTGTAATTGGATTTGTATTTAATTTTATTGTACTTTTCCTGAAATAAATATTTATTCGACTTCAAATTGATTATTTTTTATTATGAATTTGATATTTTATTCTTCTTGAAATTTTATCTGGGAAACAATACATTTTCTAACAATGCTCAAGGTGCTCAAATGACTTGTTTACATTATGGGATTAACTTTTCTATTTAATTTTGAATTATTTAAATAATTTTTAAATTATTCAGTAATTATCCTCTAAAATTGTAGAATAAAAAATCCCATTGTTATTTTATTTATTAACGTCATTAAATTCAATTACTTGCTGTCTCAAAAGAAATGTACAGAACCCTTATAAAAAAAAATTTTTTGTCCGAATGTTTCCCTTTTATTCTCCTTCACTATAACAAATTTTTGAAGAATGTTAATTATAAATATGGCCATGAAATCTCCAAAATTTTAATATGTATATATGTCCAAAAAAGTAAATTTTTGCAAACTTTTATAAATTTTTATTTACTTTGTTAGAAGATAATTAAACCTTAAAAAATTTTGTTAAAAAAATCCTAAGAATTAGTTTTTAAAAATATTTTAATGTAAATTTTCGAAAATAATTGAATTTCTCAAAACAATTTTTGTATAATTTAAAGAAAACAAAATACATTTTAGATAAATTTTAATTAAAAATTTTTAACATGATTTTTTCTCCAAAATATAAAAAATAATTTTAAAATGTTAAAATATTGAATTCAAAAAATTTTTTAAATTTGAAGCTAATTATAATTTTAATTATTATTTTTAAATTTGCATTTAAAGATTTTTCATTAAAATTTTTGACTTACCTATTTATGTAATTGTTGATTTTTTCTCATCGCCATGGATCAAAATGTCCTGACAAGTCTGCAAACTTTTTTCGCATCTGACAACTGTTCGCTTTCGTTATACCTTTTGAATGACTGCGGAGCGATGTGATTCTGAAAAATATTGTTGAATAAATAAAACAAAAAATTTATAAAAAAAATTGTTTAAACCAATTCTTACATTCAAACATTTTTTTTAAACAATTCTAAAATGTGCTGTTCTAAAGAAAAGATTTAATTAAACTATTAAAATATTTATTGTATAAAATAAAATAATTCTAGGTATAAAATAAAAATTTTAATTTTATTGTCTTTGATAACAGACAATATTTTTTTTTATTATATTTACAAAATATTTACTTCACAAAAAATGTAATTAAATAAAAGATTTTTAAAATTTTAAATAAATCATTTTTTTAATATAGGAAGTAATAAGAAATATTTTTAAATATTTAATTTATTGCTTATATTATTTTTAAATGTTTCAAATAATATTTTATTTTGACCATAATTTGCACTTACTTATTATATATCAGCGACCAAAAATGACTAAAAGAAAAATCTTTGTCTTCGAATGTGGGTTGCAGTTTCCAACGTTCTGAGACATCCTATGAAAATCATTAAATTTTGTTATTAGTCATCAAAGTTACAATATTTATTTAAACTATGAGAAATATTTAAAAATATATTCAATTAATTAGTGAAATAGTGTTTCTTACCAATTTGCTCCACCAAAGGACCTCAAAGGACTGCCCAGCGCCGCGCCGCTATGATAAGAGTCTGTCCGGTAGAAGGGGAAAACAGCCCATGAAAGAAAGGAGAGAAGGGGAAGGGGCTCAATTTTCATTGTCGTTGTCGGAAAATTAGACAAGGACAGAATGAAAACAACCTCTATTAACAATGCCGAAGGTCGTTAACCCTCTTGTTTACAATAGAGGATTAACTTTTCTTTCTAATTTTCAGTAACTTTTCACTTTATAATTTTATAAATAAAACTGCAGACAAAAAATATTAAATAAAATAATATTTCTTAAATTAAAAAAGCAAGTAAAATTGTTTACTGTTTTTTTCTATTTCTAATTAATATACTACTAGTATTTATAAATCAAACTTTTTTTTATTTTCAAAAATATCTTTTATAATTATTTTTCATTTACAATAATTATACTTAAGGAATAAAATTTAAGGCTTTCTCACAAACTAATTTTTTTTTTAATTTAAGAAAATATATCTTGACTCCTATTGTAATATTTACCACTCTGTATATTTAAATTAGTTAAAAATAACTAATTATTAATTAATTAACTTTTATTTACTAATTATTAATTAATTTAGTTGATTAATTTAATTAATTAATTAAATTGTTTGAATCAATTAATTAGCTTTTATTTATTAATTAATTACATTCATTAAATTAATAAATTGACTTTTATTAATTAATTAAATTCATAAAATCAATAAATTAACTTTTATTTATTAATTATTAATCATTTAATTAATTTTTATTAATTATTATTGATGTTTTGTTAATTAATTAAAAAATTACAATTTTTTATTATATGTAAAACAATTAATTTCAGTAGAAGAATAATTGCAAAAAAATACTCGCAACTAAATTAGTTACCAAAAAGTTTAGTTGTTTTGACATACAACAAAAAGCGCAAATTAATTAGTTATTTTTAACTAAATTATCAGTAGAAATATTACTACTTAAATCTGTGATGTGATTTTTTTTACTATAACAAATTATTTTTGATTAATTTAAATTTAGAAAACAAATTATTTTTATATTCGAAGTACACTATTCTCGAAATAAGAAAACAATAGAATATTTCACTTCTGCGTGAATGTATAACTACTAAATTGCTTTACTGCGCTTTTACAATACTCATTATACACTACTGCGCAAATTTAGCTACTAAACTGCACTAATTATGATCTTTCGAGTTCGCTGACGATCCCTACTTTTAAATATAGTAAAATCTAAAAATATATTTTTAAATAATATTCTATAAGACCTTATACTCACACATAAGGTTCATCCCTCTTTTTCTGTCTCTATACGTAAAAAAATATACAAGACTTTTAACTTTATAATAAACAGAGTCAACAGAGTCAACTAAAATAAAAAAATAAATTTCTATAATTAAATAAATTATTAGAAATATTAGAAAAATAAAACTTGCGAAACTCTTTAATTCAAATTCAATTGAATTAGATAAGAGTATTTTTTGTTTTGTTCTAAAATTTGTTTCTCGAAAATTTAGTTGTTTATAATTTGCTTTCATCAATTTTAATGAAATCGAATGGAAATTTAGATGTGAGAACCACCACGCCAAGCGGAATCGAAACCAGCTGTAGTATCAGAATCTGAGTCGTTCTGAGGATTCGTGGGTACTGTAGAAATAGTGGAGATGGTGGACGCTGGTCTTCGATTCTCATGTCTTTGTCGATAATTCAACACCTTTCCTTGAGAAACTGGTGTACTCGGTTGGCTGGTAGAATGTTGATTCCTAGACAATGTGAAATCTTGTGCTCTTCTGCTACGACGCTTCTTTATTCCATATTTCGGCGGTGGCATCAATTTATCGAGCTGGAAATTAAAAATTTATTTTAATTCGAATTTTCTTAAACTTTCAAAATAAATATTATTATTTTTATTTATTATAATAAAAAATATCGAATGAAAACAGTAAAATCTTTTTATTACTGTTAAGAAATTCCCAACTTTTTCCTGATAGTTGCCAATAATATTATCTATTTATAACGATTTGAAAAGTAGAACAAAAAGATAATAAAAACCTGAATATTGTCAGCAGAACCAAAGTTTTTGTGTATTTTTTCATTATTATTGGCCACACCCAGGAATTGGCTGAAGGCTTCCGTTGTTCGTTTGACGCGAACGTTCAGTGAGCCAATACGAAGAAAACCAAGATCTTTCTCTGAAAATAAAATTACAAAATTAATTGTCTACATTCATTTTTATAAAAATCATAAAGAGTAATAAATTCAAACAATTACCTGCATGCTTTTTCCTTGCTTTGATTTCTGAAAAAAGACAAAAGAATTATTTTCCCCGAACAATAATATTGAATGAATTATTAGACAAGCAAAGTAGAGAAGTAAATTAAAAACAATTAATTCCTTATATTAATATTGAATAATAATATTATTAAATTAGTTAATTGCAGGTAAATAAATATACTTAAACAGTAATTTAATATTTTTGTTAATCCCAAGGAGATCTAAAATCCTTCTGCATACACCAGATTAATAAATGATGTTCCTAAAATTTCCAACTTACAAATGAACAAAATTTATTTATTTCTTTTTCAAATTCAAAACTTGTATTGAAAAATTATTTTATAAAGTTCCAAATTCTTTTTGCGTTTCCATTACGTTGCAATTTTTTAAAACTATACTGAAAAAATATTTCGTTTATTTGAAAATTCAGAACTTTTGGAGCATAAATGTTAATTTGCAAAAACAGGAAATATTTACAGCAGAGTCATTAATGTTAATTAAAGATTTTCGGTTAAAATCAGTCCTAATTAATTGAATTAAAATCAAAATTTGAACAGTTAGAACGTAATTGTTTGATTGTTGGTCGTGAGTAATTAACAATGACGTTAAGCAAGCGACGGCCGCGTGAAAGAAAAAAAAAGAAGTGATAATTAATTCCTTCTACATAGAAAAATCGTGTGATGCATAAAATTATAATTTACGTGTATTGTATTTGTAAAAAGGAAATTTCTATTTATAGTTGCTTACAAATTTTTTTCATTCTTATTTTAGTGTTACTAAAATTACTAAACTACTTTTCCATTTTTCAGAAATAGAAAATCTAAAAATTTCTACAGAAACTAGAAATAATAGAAAATAAAAAAATTAATTAAAAAACTATAATAAAGCACAGAATATAGTGTTTGAAAAATTTTTAATTCTAAGGATAGAAAATCGTCTGTTAATAAATTAGTGAAATTTATATAGAAAACAGTAAGCAAAAAATATAAATTCTACTTTAAATGTGAAAAATGACAAACTGATAATGGAAATCATACAAGCAAAAAATTTTAATAATTTTCTCGAATTTATGAAATTATAAATTACAAAAAATTCTAATTTTCTTTCTTTTTCTAATTATAAGCTTCTTTTTTTTCCATTAGGAATATTCGATTTCCAGAATTATTTCAGAACTGTCTTTTTTCAGAAATATACTCACAATTAATAAAGCTATTATCAAAAAGCCATTTTTTCAAGTTTTCTTACTTTAATCGCTTTACTACAATACTTAGCAGAAGTGCTTCTTTGAACTTGCCTGAGTCTAGCAGCTACCGTAAGTCCTATAACAGAAGGAAATTCATCCAGTGCCCAAAATCACCAAAGAACCAAAACCTTTTGCAACAGTGAATTTTTTTCGTTTTGCACAAAACTTTCAATTAAAAAAGAAACGAAAAAAGAAAAATTTGAGTTAATTTTTCCAAAAAAAGAAAACAAAAAAATAGAAAAATATTGAATTTTTTTATTAAATAGGAAAAAATAAATTTAACTTGTTTGAAAAAACGTTTACAAAATAAAAATTGAATAGTAGTCAAAATAAAAATTGAATAGTAGTAAAAATAAAATTCGAATAATTCTAAAAATAAAATTTGAATATTTACTATTAAAATAAAACACTACATGCAATTATAACAAAATATCAACTATGTGTTCACTACTAAGCAGAGATAGAAGAAATATAATTTTTCAAAAAAATAAAGTAAATCGTGCTGTAAAATCAACTACAACGAATCTAATTCACGCATTAATTTCATGCAGATAACTACAAATGACAGACTAAAATTTTTTTGCGCAAAAAGAAATTTAAAACGACTTTGTCTAATTTAATAAAGAAGTCTGCAGACAGTTTTCGAAAAAATTATCACAAAAGAAAAAAATGTTCGAAGAAAATAATACCCTTCAAGTTAAAAATAATAAATATAGAAAAATAGCACGAGTTTACTGGAAGAACAATAAACAAAAAAAAAAGAAAGAAAATTGTCAACTAGACCTGGCTTTTTTTCTAATCAAAGACTCAAGACCACCCGCCGATGCACTTTGCTCAGAAATGAATCTGGTTGCATTGAAGTTCTTGCCCCGAGGGAAAAGATTCAAGATAATGTATTACGTTGCAATACCGGCTTTTTTACTGGTCCACAACATAGAGGAAGTTTCGCAATAATCTTGAAATTTGTAAATCAATTTAAAGAAAAAGAAAAATCAAAAATACTTACTGCGAAAGGTATCTTGACTAACTGCAGCCTCTTGAGAAACTAGATACTGTCTGGCTTTTTTTCCACTGTAATCACGAATTTCCTGATTTGCCCCTAAAAATAAAATATCGTCGTCAGAAAATATATTAAATATTATATTAAAGAGGTCAATTAAAATAATAAATAAAATTACGAAAATAATAAATAAAACTACGAAAATAAAAAAATAATAAAAGTAAACAAATAACAAAACAAAAAAAATATTTCAGTATATTTTTACTAAAAAAAAATATAAAAATAAATTTATATATATTTAGAAGAATGAATTTTCTGATTGAACAGTAAAAAAAATAAATTCAACGTGTCTAAAATAATTATATTTTTATATGCATTTTGTAGAGAATTTTTTTTCTAAATAATTATAATCAATTAAGAAGATCGAATGAAAATCTATATTTATCTTTCAAAAATTGATATCGATGAAATTCAATAGACTTTCCATTGGCTAGATAAGTGGAGATATTAATCTAATCTTGAATAAATAGACAATGAAACTTTGAATTTTGCCGAAGTAAAGGAAACATCTCTTTGTCTGTCAATCATTGCTTTACTCAACAGATTTTTACCTGTCACCTTTTTTGAAAAGGAAATCTCTGCAATGTCAATACTCTGATAATATAAATCGATATTGACTATTTTTACTTCTATTATCTTTTACCTACTTTCAATTTTTTTCAATTTTAGGGAAATCGTTCTAAAACCCTTTTTTTGATTTTAAAATTATTTTATTATTTTTGTTACTAAAATTTTGAAAATTTTTGTTATAATCCTTTTAATTTTTAATTTTATTGTACAAAATAATGTTTTATGTATTTACGAATATTTACAAAATTTACAATATTTGCAAATATTAATTTTCAACTTAGTAAATATTTCCTTTTCTTTTCTTTTTCAAAATATTTTTTAAATTTTTCAAATTTTTCAATTGCAAAATAATTTTGTTCATTTCAAAGTTCAAAAATTTGGAGAAATCGTTTTAAAATTCTTTTATTCGGAAATTATTGCAGTATTTTTATTTTTGTCCTTAAAATTTTAAACGTTCGAATGAACAACGATTTTTTTTTTACTTCTCTTTTGGATTTTATTGTACAAAATATTGTTTTTTATATTTAATTAATTATTAATTTTTATTTGAGTAAATGTTTATTTTTCTTTTGTCTTTTATTTTTGAACATTAATTTTTCAAAATTTTCAAATAAAGAGAAAAAAATTTCGTTCATTTGAGCTTCCTAAAATTTAGAGAAATTTTTAAATTTCATTTTCTTTAATTCAGAAATTATTCTTTCAAAAATTCCAAATAGAAAAAAAACTCTTTCATTTAAACGTTCCAAAATGTAGGGAAATCTTTCTAATACTCTTTTTTAAATTTAGAAATTATTTTAATTTTTAAAAATTTTTGTCCTCACCGTAAACTTGAACCAGAAGATTGAAAATGTTCTCGTGATCAAACTGCATTGCTATGTGAAGTGGCGTGTATCCCTAAAAAAAAGAAGGAAATTAATTATAAGGAATAAAAAATAAATTATAAATTAATTATAATTAATAAAAAATAATTATATAACTAAGAATAATTAAATAATTCTGAATAAATCGTATAAATATTATAAATATGGAAATTAATTATAATGAATCTCAACAAATCGTATATGTGAATGTAAATAAATATTTCAAATGTAAATATAAATACAAAATCAAAATATCTAAAATCTAAAAAATATAAATTCAGAAAAAAGGGAATTGCGAGTCTTATGCTTGTTTGACGAACCGAGAGAAAGATAAAAAAATAGACATTTTGCAAGCGAAGAAAGTAAAAATTTATATTGCAGGCGTAGGAGAGAATGGAATGAAAATCATGAGTGTTTAAATAAGAGTAAAACAATAAGGAATTGATTTCATTATAAATATCACCTCGAGCGTGTGAATTTTGTATTCGTACGTTGAGCACGAGAATCTCTCAGAAAACAAGACTTGAAATTTAATTTTATTGCGTGTGACCTATCGCCTTCTTTCTATCATTATCAACCAGACTCATCTCTCACTTTTTTTCATAATTATTTTCTCAAGTTTCAACAATTGCTCAATTTTTCTATACACTCTTATAAAACCAAGCAAAGATTAAAAAAAAACAAACAAACGAAACTTGTATTTAAAAAATCGAAATTTTCTCTATTTATACCTAAATATAAATAAAGAAAATAAATATTTCCTGTATTTATAAATATATATAAAGGAACTTCCGCTTTTTTAAAATATAAATCAAATAACAAAGTCGTCAAGTTTTTACAAATACTTGAATGGTTCATGAGAGAAAAAACAGACTCGCGATAAAAATCAAAAGCTGCAGAATAGTTATAAGATCTTGAATGAAATAATTCAAGGAAAAAAAAGTTCGCATTGACAAAAACACTTGTTATTTTCATCGTGACAGGAAAGACGAGTTCATGTCGAATCGTCGCGCTAGGAAGTATCAAAAAGACATTATCTTAGTGTATCGGCGTTGGACAGGTGAGAGAGTTTCTTTTTCCTCAGCTCGTCAGGAAACAGCTGCTCGCTTCGTCTTTGGTTTTACTGGCTAATCCGCTCTGATGTGGATTCGATCGTATCGTTTCGATCGACCGGTACAACTCATTTATTATTCCTCATTTCCATTATATATCCGATTTAAGGGAAACGCATACACGTCGAATCCTCTCCTAATTGTTCTAATAATCTCAATTAATTTCACAACCAAAAGCACAATAAATTACTAAAACAGAATTGTCACAAAAATTCGATTTTGTTTTTTCCTGTCTTTTCCCTCATTTCCAAACTGAATTTCAATCTTTTCCCTGTTATCTAAAAAAGTTTCGTGAAGAGCAATTTATAATCACAGATAATATTTAGAAGCAAAAATTTTAAAACTAAGAGTGTCTATCCTATTTTGAAAATTAAATTAGTTATTGTGGCAAAACTCCCTCGATTATTTACTAAAATTTTTTCAAATAAATTGTAATTTTTCCAAAGACAGTGAAATTTTACTAAATGAATTGTAAGTTTTTCAATGAATTGAAATTCTGTTAAATAAATAAATAAAATAAAAAAAATAAAAAAATAAATTAAATAATTTAATTAAATTAATTAATTAATTAATTTAATTTTTATTTTTAATTTAATTTAATTTTAATTAAATAATAAATTGAAATTTTTTGAAATAAATTCATTTTAATTAAAATTCATTAAAAAACTTTCAATTTGTTCAGTAAAATTCAAATATGTTTAGAAAGATTCTACTTTATGTCGACAAATTTTTTATTTGAAAGAATTTCAATTTATTAGGAAAAACTTTAATTAATTTAGAAAAATATCAAATTAATTTGAAAAAATTGCAATTTAATTTTTAAACATTTCAATTTATTTTAGAAAATTACAATTTACTTGAAAAAATTTCAATTCATTTGAAAAATTTTAATTTATTTGACAGAATTTCAATTTAGTTAAAATGAATAATTTATTTCGAAAAAATCAAATGTATTCGAACAAATTTCTATATATTATTTGACAAATTTTCATTTATTTGAAGGAATTAAAATTTTTTTGAAAGAATTTTAATTCATTTAAAAAAGTCCCAGTTTTCGAATAAATTCTAATTTATTTGATAAAAATAGAATTTATTTTGAAAAATTCCAATTTATTTGAAAAAACTGGAATTTATTTAGAAAAATTCCAATTTATTTAACAAAATTTTAATTTATCTAAAAAAATTGCAGTTTATTTCAAAAAAATTACTGGAAATGTTTCCAAAAAAATTCAAAATTTGAAATTTTCCATTTTTGAAAAAAATTTAATTTATTTGAAAAAATTCCAATTTATTTAACAAAATTTTAATTTATTCCAAAAAATTCCTGTTTATTTCAAAATACTGTAAATTTTTTCAATGAAATTCAAAATTCAAAATTAGAATTTTTTCATTTTTGAAAAAACTGGAATTTATTTAGAAAAATTCCAATTTATTTCAAAAAATTGCAGTTTATTTAAAAAAATTACTGGAAATTTTTCTAATGAAATTCAAAATTGGAAATTTTCCATTTTTGAAATAAATGTTATTTATTTGGAAAAATTCCAATTTATTTGACAAAATTTAATTTATTCCAAAAAGTTCCAGTTTATTTCAAAAAAAAATTACTAGACATTTTTCCAATGAAATTAAAAATTAAAAATTAAAAATTTGAATTTTTCAATTAAAAAAAAAAATTGAATTTATTTGGAAAAATTCCAATTAATTTGACAAAATTTAATTTTATTTCAAAAAATTCATGTTTATTTAAAAAAAATTACTGGCAATTTTTCCAATTAAATTAAAAATTAGAATTTTCCATTTTTGATAAAAATGGAATTTATTTGGAAAAATTCCAATTTATTTGACAAAATTTTAATTCATTCCAAAAAATTTCAGTTTATTTCAAAAAAATTACTGGAAATTTTTTCAATGAAATTCAAAATTCAAAATTTGAAGTTTTTCAAATGAATTAGAGTTTATCTATAATTAAACTGAAATTCTTTCAAATAAATTGACATTTTTTCAAATAAATTATAATTTTTTCACATAAATTAGAACTTTTCTAAAGAAAATCGAATTTATATGCTGAAATTTAAATTTATCTAACTAAATTAAATCAAACTCAAATAAATTGGAATTTTTCAAAATAAGTTAAAATTTTTCTAAAGAATTGAAAGTTTTTCTAAAAATAGGAATTTTTTTAAATTAATTGACAATTTTTTATAATGAATAATGGAATTTTCCTAAATAAATTAAAGTTTTTCAAAATACAATTTAGATATCGAATGGTTAAAATTTTACCGTTTGAATTAAAAATTTTTTAAAAATATTTTTCGACACGAAAAACTCGAATTTTTGTATTAATTCGAAAAATTTGATATTTTTCCAGTACTTTTGATAAAATTTCCTGACCAATTTAATTTTCCCTGAATTTCCTGATTTCCCAAAACTGTGGCAACCCTTTTAAAGGAATAAAAATTCCAATTAATAAATGCTGCACAAAAAAGAAAAAAATACGTAAAAAAATACGTACTTTAATTTGATATTTTATTGAGAACGCCTGTAATGTTATTTTTGTTCGTGTATCCTGGTTGATTGCCTCGGTGTGTCAAAAAACCATTGCACACCCTTTTATGAAATGGGGTGTCAAAAAGGGGTTGACGAGGCCGCTTTAATTTATTTCACTTTAAAGTCCGCATGGATATATAGGTACAGTGTGTGATATCAACAATTCTACATACGAGTTAAAATAAGGGGTAGTCACCCTTTTTGGAATCCAATAGGTGACACGTGTGTTCGCGACAAGTGGCACGACACACAATAGAGAAAAAGAGTGAGAGAAATAAATAGAGAATTCGTGTCTCTTTTTCTCTCTCTGTCTCACTATCACCCACCCATAGATCTCCTTTTATACTTTTGACAATATTTTAAAGTAGCATTGTCCTGACTCTGGGAGTCACCGAGAGCTCGAGACAATATCATGCGCCCTTTTCACTTATACTCCTCAACCCCTGTAACACCATTTTATCTTATTCTTTCCCCGTTCTCGATTTTCGTTCAACGGGCACCTCTTCGTCGCACACCTACGACTACGGACATCTGCCGGCCACCAATATTCGCACACGTATATCACCCGTTGAGAATTTTCAATTTTAATATTTTTCTTACATCGACTCGCCTTTTACGAGCAGCTAAATCACATCGCGAAACTCACCCTCTCTTTTCGACATTTCAAAAAAAAAAAAAAAAAAACTAACTCGCACATACTTTTCAACTTGGAATCAAGGCCCTCTTCGATATTGCTCAATGTCGTCGGGGAATATTTATTTTTGTACTTTCAAATTTTACATGTGGAAATTTGTTCCGCCTATCGTTTTTTGAAATCTATTTTAATCGCTCGGAAAAATTGTTCAGGGATGATATTGAAGACGGTAAATTTCAACATAATCGAAATAAATTGGAATTTGCCAAAATAGAGTGCAATTTTTTAAAATAAATTGGAATTTTACCAAATAGACTGGAATACTTACAAATAAATTGGAATTTTTCGTAATAAAATAGAAACTTTCGAAATAAATGGAAATTATTCTAAATAAAGAGGAGTTTTTTTTTGAAAATAAATTAAGAACTATCGAAAAAAGTTGGAATTATACCGAATTCATTGGAATTTTTCGAAATACATTGAAATTTTATCAAATAAATTGGAAGCTTTCGAATTGAATTGAAATTACTTCAAATAAATTGTAATTTTTCGAAATAAACTGGACTTTTTCAGAAGAAATTGGAATTTTACCAAAAAAATTGAAATTTATCAAATAAATTGAAATTTTTTGAAATAAATTTGAAAACATTTTAACTAAATTGTAATTCTTTCGAGTAAATTAGAATTTTCCAAATAAATTGAAATTCATTCAAATAAATTTAAATGTCTTCAAAATAAATC